GTGTGTGTGTGTGAGAGAGAGAGAGAGAGAGAGAGAGAGAGAGAGAGAGAGAGAGAGAGAGAGAAAGAGAGAGAGAGAGAAGATTTAGCCTTTGGCTGTGCTCCATCCAGCTCTAACATTATGATAGATCTCAGATATTCCGTTTGCCCGGTCACATAGTATCAGACCTTTATACTGAAGAGCAGTGTCTTTGTCCCACAGTCTATAGGGACTTAGCTTATCACCGCACACGAGTGCTTCCATTCCTGGAAGTCACACAGTCACCTGACCAGAGGCTCATAAGATCAAGAGAGGTTATTTTTAAAAACAGCTGATTGTAGTAACTGGCGTGGGGGTGACTAATTCATGCCTTTCTGATTCCCAACTGGGTTAACAGAAGATCTTGGCATTTTCCCAAGTTGAAATCATGAGCTGAGCAGTGATGAAGGGCGCTAAGGCTTGAAAAGGCATCATTGACCTTTGCTCTATTATTGAACTGAAGGAATCTGCAGGAGCCTTATGGGTAAGAGTCTAGGCACATGCAAATGAAAACTGACTCAGAATTAGCCTGTTTGTACTGAGACACCTCAGTGTCTTTATTTCCTAAGTTTCCTCACGTGTGTCTCTGTCATAGAATGGCTTCAGAAGCATGGGATATCCCTTGTCACGCAATCTCACATTATACTCCTTTTATCTATCCTTGTTGCTAGACGTATGCAGATATTTCCCTGCTTATAAGCACTTTGAGAAAAGGAAAAAATTCATATGTGCAAATTCCAAAGTTCCAAAGCCTCTGGCCCTTCCTTCTGTCTCCGTTGGTTCACCCTCATTGAGTGCAGCTGTGTCTTCAAACCAGATGGACTTTCCATCTTTCCAATTCTTTGCATCCTTGCTACCAACTACTCCCAGTAGGCAGCTCACAGGCATAGGTGTGAGCCCCTTCCCTACCCTTCATTCCTGCTGTAGGCTCCACCTCTCGTTTGATCAGGCACATTTTACAAACCAAGATGCTTTGATTTCTTGTTTTCTGTTCAGTGACAGTTGAACTACTCTGAAGGTCAAAGTCTTCTTTTTGACATATTTTTATGCCATATAGTAGTTTGGGTTGTCAACCTTATCAGAAAAACAAGGGTGTGTCCGTAGCTAACATGGAAGAAGAATAAGAGAAGAATAAGAATAAGAGAAGCCCAATTCTGTAAACACTTTCTCTGCTGCCCTCTTCACAAGAAAAAATTGGGATATTTTGATGTTTCAATGATGAGCCATAACTAACACAAGTTTTATATGTGTGAGTTATACAGTTTGGCGTTCAATACATGTGTACATTGAGAAATGGTTACCCCAACCAAACTAGTTACCATGTTCATAACCTTTCATTCGTCATTTTAGTGTGGGGTGGGGAAGAAACACTTACCTTCTAGCCTTTCAATGGGTTCCAGGCAGAATGCTTAGCAACAATCACATGCCGCATGCTGGCTCCTCCTGGTTCACAGTCTTAGAGCCATCCTGGGCTGTGTTCCTGGGTGGCCCCACCCCTCAGCCACTGGTCTCTACTGCTCTGCTTCATGCTTCTGTAACTCAGACGCTCTGCATTCCACACGGGAAGTTGTAGAGTACGCCCTGCGTCTGACCCATTTCACTTAGGAGATTGTCCACTGGGCTCATCTACGTTGTCACACACGACTTGATTTCCTACTTTTTATGGCTGTGTGTGTGTGTGTGTTCTTTTGCAGCCATGTGCTATGATTTCTTTCCCATCATTCCTTATTTATTCGAGTTTTCCTTCTGTGTGTGGTAACTGGGAAGCTTACATAAAACCCTGTGCACTTGCACTTTTCCCTGCCGTCTTTTTACAGACTCCAGTTGCTTTGATTGCCCGCCATCCTTCCAGAGTTACTGTATTCAGAGATCACCTCCAAATGTTTACCACGGACTTTCCCCATATGCATGCTAGTACCTACCTCCCAGACATTTAAACTTAAATAATCACCTTTCAAGATATGTCTTACAAGTCATGGCCAGCACTGATGGCGCTCTCTGCTTTGTTTCTGATAATGTGTTTATCTCACTTATTTCTTCTTAAGATTATTTAAATTTCATATGTGCTTCAGTCTTTTGTCTACACGTAAGTATGTGCATTGCATAAACAAAGAAGCCCTGAGAGGCTGGCTGTGATTCTCAACCTTCCTAATGCTGTGACCTTTTATTACAGTCCCTCATGTTGTGGTGATCCCCCCCAACCATAAATTTACTTCGTAGCTACTTCATAGCTGTAATTTTGTGAGTGTTATGAATTGTAATATAAATATCTGATGTGCAAGATACCTGATATGCAACCTCCGAAGGATTTGCAGCTTACGGATTAAGAACCATTGGGTGAGAAGAAGGTATTCTCTTCCCTGGAACTGGAATTACAGGCAGTTTCTAGCCAGCACATGAGTGCTGGGAACTGAACCCAGGCCCTCTGAAAGAGCAGCAGGAGTTGTGGGCTGCTGAGCCATCTCTCCAGCCTGCCTCACTTATTCTTGGGGGACAGCTTCTCCAGGTTTGCTTGGCTGGGTGACAGTTTTGTTTTTCCTTCAGAATTGTGAGCTCGCCGTCTCCCCCACTTCAGTTCCTGTTGAAGGTCTGTGTTATGTGACAAGAGGTTTCTCTTAGTGCTTTGAAAACTCTCTGTCTTTTGCTGATTTGGTTGCAGCATCTCTAGGCTGTTGAGGGGGACCATGCCGGCGGTGATCCGAGAAGAGATGAGAGTGAAAACCAGTTCAGATTGATTTCATCAACCTGGATCAGCCTGTGGGGGAGTCTAATGCCGGGCGGCTCCTTGTCAGCGTATTTCAAACACAGTACAATCTGGGAAGAGGTTTCTAGGCAACAAGCATTCCAATTCCAGGTGCACAGTAGAGCTTAAGCTATGACAACATAGAAACTCCTTTACAACGTACATGTGACCTTGAGGTGGATTCTACAGCTAAAAGGCCTAGTGTGGTCTCTGATCAAGATAGCGTAGAGGCTAGCAGGCTGTGAAGTACATGTGAACTCTCTCCTAAGGATGGGTATCGGTCTAGAGAGGCAAGAATCTGGGATAAGCATTCTCGGGGATTTGGGTGAGGTTTGCATGTTTAGCAAAGGGGAGGTGACATCTGCTGCCACAGAGAGCAAAGAGGTCACCAGATCGTTAACAATATCCACTTCCAAGCTTTCTGGGCAAGAAAACAGGTATTTCTGTCTTCCCCACCGAGAAGAGGCCATGTGTTTAACCTTTCTCGTTTCCCTAGTGATCTGTGGGTGCAAGGATCTTTGAGCCCCCAACAGGAGGCATTTGGGGAGGGGTCAATCTTACTTGACCTTGAAGCATCACAAATCTAACTGCCAAGGTTACTGCCAAGATACAGAGAATTGCCTACTTGTGTTTATTTAAATAATCTTTCTCTTTTCTCCTTTGTCACACTCATCCCTCTCCTGCTCATGTGTGTGCTGTTTTGTAGGTTTTTACATGGTTTCCTCATCATTTTCATTCTTACATCGCCTCAATAGGATTAATTTCAAATAGAATATTTTTCTTCTTGTTATTTATTTTTTAGTTTTATTTTTTATAGATTATTATTAGTGCGAATTAGTGCGCATGACACACTGTGTGTGTAGAGGACAGAGGACATTTTTCAGAAGTCAGTTTTCTCTTTTCACTTCATCAGGCTCCCTAGATCTAAGTCAGGCCAGAGGGTTTGCAAGGTAGGCACGTTCCCCCACTGAGCCAGCTTTCTGGGTGCCAAGGGGAATGTCTCCGATTTATCGATTCTTTCTTCAGATTACTGAATCTGTTTCCATGACTCTCTAAGGAAAAATTTCAGGCTGTAACGGTAAGTTTGAATCAAGGCTGTCGGGTCATTTGTCACTGTGCTGATTTTATCTAACATCTTGTTTTGCTTGGGTGTTACTGTTCCGACTTTGTCTTGTTATCTGTGTTCTCCAGCCCTTCACCCAACTTCTCTAAACTCTGTATTATTTTTTTTTAAAGCAGGCAGTTAGTAGATCCCAGTGTCCTTGAGGTCATTCCCTGAACCTTATTTTTTTCTGATGGTATCCTGCTTGCCTAATTCTTTGTCATCCCTGTAGACATGAAAGTCTGTGCATCTGATGGAACGATTGCATCCCCAGTCTTCACAGACTGATCTCAGCTGGCAAAGACCTCATCCTGTTGTGTCTTCAGGCTGATAGAAAAGAGTCTAGAGCAGGTTTCAGTCAAACAACTTGACTGCTGCTGTCTTCCTCTGTATAATCTGCAGCTAGAGACTAAGGTATGCCAGGCACTGTGTTAGAAAGCCTCCAGCACACAGATTAACAGGGTTGGCACTGTGGAGATCCAAGTTCAAGATCCACAATGGTATCTTCAGACACAGGTCTATTATTCAGTACTTAAGAAGATACAGGTCCTATGCTGTCTACAGGGGATTTCTCTGTTTTACTAAGAGGGTTCCTGAGGCCGCCTCTGCTGTCACTTAGGCACAAGTGAAGAAGACTGGGAACCAAGCCAGAGAGCTGCTTCAGAGCCAATAGCTAGGGCTAACATCAGCAGGCCTGCCTCTAAGAGTAAGATTGACTCATTTTGTATTAGGCTCCTGGGTGGCCGTAATAATCGCTCTTGTAGCTCGGCTCACAGACTGAAGCAGAATGACAGACATGTGTCAGGATCTTCCATAAGATAAAGAGCAGTGGGACTTTCTCTTGGGAGACGGATGGACATGTCTCCTGCCGGGTATCTGGATAGATAACCCAGATCATAGCTACAGCATTCGAGATCTGTGTTACAGAGATGTTTCAGGATCTGATGTTGGATGATTGACATGCTTGCCCCAGGCCAAGATGATGGGTGCGCCTCCCCCTACAATCTCTGTGTGGCCAGGACTACCAGGACTGTTTCCAGGCTACGTGACTTGGGGGAGGGGCTCTAACTTGGTCCCAGACGATGTTTGTGTTTACAGGTGGAACTGAGGACAGTATGTTTGCCACCAAGGCTAAAGTGGGAAAAGTAATTTCTGGGTCTTCAGCTGGGGCCACAGTAAGTAATCCAGCCACTGGGCAGAAGGAGTCTTTCATCTTACAATATCCCTCTTCAGGCCAGGATTCTGCTGGTACCTCAAAACTCCCCCCCCTCCCCCGATCTTAAAGCTAACATGAAAGCACCATTATCCATAATGTCCACCAAAATTACAGGCATTGGGGATACAAGCAGGAGACATTTTTCTTGCGTCAGCTTGCTGGCACTGCTCCAAAAACTTCACATTTTAAAAAATATAGAACTGAGTCCATTAGGTGTTGAAAGTAAAGTAATTGGTCACCCTAGAATTATATGGTCCAAAGAGGCCAGGTCACCCTGCCTTCCTTGCAGCAATTCGGTTTCTAGACTGTGACTAAAATGCACTTTGGTGTGCATGCAGAAACAGGCAGTGCACATGGATTTTGTCCCTGAAAATAAAGCAAGCATGCATCTGTGGGAGAATGAGTGAATGAATTGCTGTATAATAAAATACAGGTAGAACGATTGAACTGGGTTAATATGGCTCAGGACATATGAAATTGAAACATAACCTAGGATATCATTTATTTTGTCTAATATGTATATTTGTAAACACATTTTTAAAAATTATATGGAAATACAGTATTAATTTTAAGTTAGTGACCTACAGGGGAAAATGAGAGGAATGAGACTGGGGGAGTTGGGCCTTACATTGTGTTTCTGATATCTTTGAGTATTGAAACGAACATATCTGTGATAGGGGAGGCTGTTTGTTGGTTTCCCCAGCTTTCTCAGACCCAAAATAACCACACAGAAACTGTATTAATTAAATCACTGCTTAACACATTAGCGCTACCTTCTCATTGGCTGACTCTTACGTATTAATGTAACCAATTTCTATTAATCTGTATGTCGTCACTACGAGGTCGTGGCCTACCAGCAAAGTTTCAACACATCTATCTCCAGCGGCAGCTCCATGGCATCTCTCTCTCTCTCTCCCTCTGTATTCCTTCTCCTAGCATTCAGTCCAGTTTTCCCCGCCTACCTAAGCTCTGCCCTATCAACAGGCCAAGGCAGTTTCTTTATTCACTAACCAATACAAGTAACACATAGACAGAAGAACCTCCCACACCACATATCAAAGCAGCCAGAGTTTTGGGAGCAAAGCAGTAGGTGCATAGAAGATCTTTACATTGTTCATTAGGTTTGGCATCTGATACAGCAAGGCATCAGAGACTCAGAGAAGCTTATGAGCACACAATCCCTGCATGGGTGTGGTGACGACCTGCTGGCCATTGTGAGGTGTCGCAAAGAATGACGCCATAGTGAGTCACTGGACTTTTCAAAATGTGCTCCCTCCCAGTTTGGCTGTTGGAAAAGGCGTATCTGTGAAGAAGACGTGTGTCCAAAACCATACGCATGGCTTGCGGCTTTCCGTAAAATAGGGATGAACAAACAGTGCTCACCGTGCTAGGAGCTCTTTGTGACTTGTGGGAGAAAATGCATGAAAAACAAAAGCAGAGGAATGGGAAGCCCTTTCAGCATTATTTTTTTTGACTAATAAATGTTTATTCATCTTTTTTTTAAATAAAGAAAGAAATGGCTTCTTCAGCCTTCTAATATGTATTTATACGAGGGGATTCCAGGGATGCTTCCAGACTTTCATCGTTGAATGAGTCCGGGGTTCTCACAGTGAGCAGCTACTGGGTTCTCTGGCTCCTCAGAATTATGGCCTATCATTATAGCTCTTCAGCAATGTTGGACTATCCCGTCTCCACCTGTGTAAGCCGATCTAATGATTCTTGATTAACATCTGTATAGATGCATACGTATACACAGAACCATCCCACACACCCCCAACACACTATTGGTTCTGTTCCTCCACAGAAATCTGACAGACTTTCTCTGTTTTGTTTTGTTTCTTTTTTTCTCTAGCTTGAATACAATATGCATGACTTCCTTGTCTGTTTTATTTTGTTTGTTTTAATTTTTTGGCATTTGTTCTAGTAAATGTTTTCTGAGATTCAATTTAAAAAAAAAGAAACAATGAATAGAAAGGACTTTAAGGAAAAGTGAGAGGACCTAAAGGAGAAGAAAATTTACTTCCCATTTTATTCCTTTGCACATAATTTTTAATTATTTTAACAATGCCATGTATTACTTTTTTATTGATTTTTATTGAGCACTACATTTTTCTCTGCTTCCCTCCCTGCCCCTCCCTTCTCCTTTAGCCCTCCCCCAAGGTCCTCATGCTCCCAATTTACTCAGGAGATCTTGTCTTTTTCTACTTCCCATGTAGATTAGATTTATGTAAGTCTCTCTTAGTGTCCTCAGTGTTATATAAGTTCTCTGGGATTATAGAAAACCACCTATGAGTGAGTACATTGGATAATTGTCTTTCTGTGTCTGGGTTACCTCACTCAAAATAATGTTTTCTAGCTCCATCCATTTTCCTGCAAAATGCAAGATGTGTCGTACTCCATTGTGTAAATGCACCATATTTTCCTTATCCATTCTTCAGTCAAGGAACATTTAGGTTGCTTCCCGGTTCTGGCTATGACAAGCAATGCTGCTATGAACAAGGTTGAGCACATGTCCTTGTGGCATGATTGAGCATCCTTTGGATATATACCCAAAAATAGTATTACTGGGTCTTGAGGAAGGTTGTTCCTAATTTTCTGAGAAATCACCACACTGACATCCAAAGGGGCTGTACCAGCTTGCACTCCCACCAGCAATGCAGAAGTGTTCCCTTTTCCCCACAACCTCTCCAGCATAAGTTGTCATCAGTGTTTTTGATCTTGGCCATTCTTACAGGTGTAAGATGGAATCTCAGAGTTGTTTTGATTTGCATTTCCCTGATGACTAAGGATGTTGAACATTTCCTTAAGTGTCTTTCAGTCATTTTAGATTCCTCTGTTGAGCGTTCTCCATTTTTTTTTTTTTTTGAAGAACCCAGCAGCAGTCCGAGTGTTAATGTTCTGTTGTCAGGGTCAGAACCCTGAACATGAACCTGTATGTCAGTCTGCAGAATGATTTCCATACACCTGCTCTTTTCTGGTTTTGGAGGTGCCTTCATACCGTAGCTCAGGCTGGCCTTAAAGTTATAGCAGTCCTCCTACCCTAAACGCTGGAATTATAGACAGCCACCAGCAACCCCTGCCAAGCTCTGCTGTGTATGCTGTACGTCTGCGCCCTGTCTATCTGTGAAATAACATGGGTGTTATTTCCATTTTCCCCTACAGCTCGCAACCATAAGCCAGAAGAGAGAAAGGACACAGTGACCTTGTCAAGAAGAGCAACCTTTAGAATCACAGTAATGACACGTGCTTGCCTTCAGTGGCAGACTCTCACAGACTAGTGAAGGGAGAGAATCTCACAAGGCACTCCAGCCATTTGAAGTTGAATATTAACAGCGGGCCAGGGAAAAGGATTAAGACAGAGGCGTTATGCTTTTTGGAAGAGTGAACCTTGGCAGTGGTAACAAATCAAACAGATGACATGGTCTGTGGTCACAGGGCCTTGTCGAGGATCTGGGCTACACCAACCTTAGTGCTGGCTTTTGCACACTTAGCCAGAGAGACATTTACTGCACCCGTGGATGAGAACGAATAGCCTGGGGACTGATGCACCTTCTGTGCTAATAATTGTGTTTCCTCTGGGAAGAAATTTCCCCTAAGGAGAGAGCTCTGTCTAGTGGGTGAGCCGAATATGTTGCCCACCACCTATGTGTGGGGCTAAAACCCCTTGATAGCCACCATTAATAACTGTGAGAGATCACCCGTGCCAAGCACTGCTGGCCATAAGAGAGAAAGGACACAGCGACCTTGTCAAGAAGAGCAACCTTTAGAATCACAGTAATGACACGTGCTTGCCTTCAGTGGCAGAATCTCACAGACTAGTGAAGGGAGAGAATCTCACAAGGCACACCCTGGCAGCCACGCTTTCCAGTTAGGAACAAAACCCTAAGTTTTAGAAAACCGGGTAGTTCAGTAGTTTTCCCGTGATTCAGCCTACCGAAGAACTGTAATTAACTCCCACACAACACTCTCTAGAGAGTAAACCCTCTGCCGCCGCACGGTCTCAAAAAACTCTACCTAGGAGAGGGGTCTCCTAGTAACTTTTAGCACTAAGTTAGCCCTGGCTGCCACTCAGTGTGATGGAAGAGGGGGAGTCAAGCTGCTTAGGTTCCGTATCCAGGCAATTGAAGTTTCTCTTTGTGAGCTGTGGTTCACAGAGCCCAGCTGTCATCACAGCTGCAAGGAGGATTGGTGAAAGACTCACCTAATACACCCTTTGGTCAACTACCTTGTAATGTAAGTAGTCTGTTTACCGGCAGCAGAACCTAACATAAAAGGAGGGAGTTTTAAAGAGACTAGGGTGTCGACATACAGATTGCATCATTTCCAGATGAGGTCAACCTCTCAGCCCTTCGTCACAGCCCTGACTTTCAGCTGATGGAGTCTAGTTGGGAACTGGCAGATGAGAGACTGAGAGCCACACTGTGGAGTGACTTGACATACTGGGACAGGTGTCCCTGGTCTTTTGTAAGTTCTGACACAGGGCTTCTCCCGATGCATCTACCTGCCAACTACCATTTACAAATGGTCTATCATTGTCTGAGTTTTCTAACTAACCGATTTTCAGCTTGCCAACCTGGAACACTTTGTCCAGGCACTTACAGATTCAAGCTCAAATGGCTTTAGCATTTTTTTTTCTTTTAAGGATTTTATTTTTAAAAAGTTGAATTTGGAACTTGGGGTATAACTCAGTGGTAAGGTACTCGCCACTAATAGGAATGGTGGGTTTCAACTGCACACCACAGTGTGCAGTTCAAGGCACAGGGCTAAGAAAGGGCAGAGAGATGGAGCTGCCCACACATGTCCAGTCACAGAAATACAAAACCAGACAGGACAGATGATCAGGGACAGAGCCCAGAAGAGACACTTTCAGAGTGGAAGCTGTAAACACAGAGGGCTTGTTCATGGATTAGGTAGACTTGTCTCTTGGGCCACAGTAAAAAGCCAGAGGCTGGGAAACTAAAAAATGGCATTGATTTTTTTCTCACAATTAAAAAGCCAAGGAAGATGAAACCATGGCTCCAGTTGACTATGGCTGTGGTGGAGACTCTCTGCCTTTCTTGAAGACAGCAGATACCATGTCCAGATGGCACACGGATAGCAGTCTGGTCCCTTCTGGTTGCATAAGGATACCAGTCCTATCAGTTTAGGGACCAGTCTGGTGAACTCATTTAACCTCAGTCATTATTCATGTAGTATATTCATGGTTGTTGACTTCTAGAAAAACTTTGTTTGCTTAAAAACATTTAAAGACCATAAATAGGGACCCATTAGCATCACAGTACATGTGTGTGGGAGAAGAATGTGAGCATATATGCACATACTCCTTGGAAATTATTTCTGTCCGTTTCAAGGGTCACAGATCAGAAATTAAATAGCTCACAGAATTCATCTAGAGGAACCACGAGTAAGACAAATTAAGCCTGTTGACTTGGGTGCTCTGACGAGTTTGAAGTCCAAGTTAAAAGTTAATAGCAATGGCTTACATTGCTAAATTCTTAAAGCTCTTCGTTCTTTGTAGGTTAACTCTATCATGGAAGATTATCCTAAGTACAATGTTCACATCGACTTTTCTTCTTTTTGGTAAGTCTTAGAGGTGATGATCCTTAAACTGACTCACTGAGTGTATGGTAACAGAGGGCTCAGTGGGATGACTCGTGTTTGACATGGAGGTCACCTGCACATTCTTTCAGCTCCTTTCCCCCTTCCATGTCCTGTGCTAAAAATAATATAAGCTTCTTAGAAAATTTATAATGATTAAAAATTAATTTAATTTATTTAAAATTAATTTAAAATAATTATAATTATTTTCTTGTATTATAGTTTATTTTTCTATTTTTTATTTAAAATAGAGTTTTGTATATGCTATATTCCAATTATAGTTTCCCCTCCCCCAACTATTCTGGGACCCTTGCTACTTCCCCTCCCTGCAGAATCCATGCCCTATCTTTCTCTAGAAGGAAGCAGGCATGGAAAGAATGACAATAAAATAAGATAAAACAAAACAAAACAGAATAAGACAAAACAAACTGAAAAGAGGCAAAGAAAAACATGAGAACATATAGATTCAGAGACACACATATGCATACCACAAAACCAGAGGTCATATTATATACATATGCAAAAGAACACAAAAATTGCATAGAAGCTGAGAATCCCTAATACGGGGCCAGTGAGTTGATGCAAGTGGTAAAGGTCCCTGCTGCCAAACCTGATGATCTAAGTTTGGTCTCTGAACTCACAAAGTAGAAGGAAAAAATGGACTATATCCAGTTGTCTTCTGCAAGCTCATATAAATAAACAATAGGTGATATAATGGTGGATGGATGAATGATAGAAGATAGATAGATAGATAGATAGATAGATAGATAGATAGATAGATAGAGCAAAAAGGAAAGAATCCCCAATATGTTTCCAAAAGAAACATCTAATATTTTACCTGTTCTAAATTTGAATGACTGAGCTTAGAGATTTTTTTTTCAATTTTTAAAAGCTTTAACCCACATATTAGTTATACATAATAATATGTTTCATCATAGTATTTTAATACATGTATACAATGTTTTAGTTCTATGTAACATAAGGGCCTGCTTGTTTGGGTTTCTGTCCTGCCCAGTTCCCACAGTCGGCAAGCCCCTTATTTTAAGGACTTTAACCTTTAGCCTGCATATATTTTTATCACACTGTAAAACATTTAGAGGTTTTCTTCATCTTTGAATCTCTCTTTACTGTATCTCTCTCTTTTTTTCTGACCACATGAGTCTTTAATTTGCTAAGCAATATGGGTAGGAGTAAAGCTGTGGCCTTGATGGCTGGATCCAGCCCATTTCTTAGCTTCCTAAGATTTCAGGCTCATGACAGAGGTATCAGCCAGAGCCATGTTTATTGCCACAACTCTATGGCATTCCAAGGTCCTTGGCAGCAAGCAAGCTGCAACAGTGTGTCCACAAATAACACTTAAATGCTCTCTCTGTAGCCGAACCTCCTGCCTCAAAGAGTCAGAGTTTGCGCTGGCAGGACAGTCCAGAAAGTCTCTATATTCTGTCAGTTATATTTTAAATAAATGCTGCTTGGCCAGTAGACAGGCAGGAAGTATAAGCAGGACAACCAGACAGCAAATAGAGGTGGGTCAATGAGAACAGGAGAATTCTGGGAAGGAGGAAGCCCATTCCTCCCCAGTCCTGTCCAGACACTGAAGAAGGAAGCTATTACCTGCTCTACTGAAAAAGATACTGAGCCATGTGGCTAACATATACTAGAATAATGAACTAATATAAATTATAAGAGCTAATACAAAGCCTGAGCTAATGGGCCAATCAGTTTATAACTTATGTAGACCTCTGTGTGATTTTCTTTGGGGCTTACCAGCTGTGGGAACTGGACAGGACATAAGCCCCAACAAGCAGCCCATCATGTTACAGTTCTACTTAACCTTAAATTGTAATTACTTCTGAGAATTTTATAAATACATAATAAAATATGACCATATCTTTCTCCCATTTCCCCTCTCTAGCCCTCTCATGCCTCACCCCCAACTTATTTTTTGAAAACCACTAACTCCAGTCAGAGCTTCCATATGAAAATAGCTGTGGGCCCATCCTACCACAGGGTTATGGGAAACCTACCAGTCCTACTTCCTCAAAACAGAATGATTTTCTCTTCTCCAGCAACCAGTAGCAGCTCAGGAAGGGGTAGAGCCTGTACCCCATCTATGCCAGAGTTTGGTTGGCTTGATCTTGTGCAGGTCTTGTACAGGTAGTCACACCTGCTATGGGTTCATGGCTGCAATATTCATGCCATGTCTGGAAGCCAGCATGTCACAGTGCTTCTCCCCATCCTCCTCATCCTCCCCATCTTCCAGCTCTTACATTCTTACTGCCTTCTCTTCTTCGACTTTCTCTGAGTCTTTGTGGCAATGAGATTTACACAGATATTACATTTAGGGATCAGCACCAGTTCTCTTATCCTCAGTTCTTTGATCAATTAACCATCTCTCCATTGATGGCTCTTAACTACACATTGAAACTTCTCTGACCACGGTTGAGAGCAGCCCAGGTCTTTGGGTGTAAGCATAAAAACATTTAGGAGGCATTTGGATAGCATGACTATTTGGTAAGATAACAATAACACCTTCTACTTAGAGCCCACGATCTCCCCAGTCATGGGCTTTTGACCAAGATAGATGTATAAAGGGTATGAAGTTCCCTTCTGTGGAGCAGGCCTCCAGTCCAGTGAGAAAGTGGCTAGTTACTCCATAGCTGTCATGCCACTGTTGCTCCAGTAGCCATATCTTGCCTGGCAGGTCAAAATTGCATGGTCTCAACATTCTCCTCAAGGATATGCTTCCAGTGACCTAACCACCTATGGAGTCACACCTCTTCAACCTTCTACCAACTCCTAGTACTACCAAGTTGAAGACCAAGTCTTTGACACATTAGCCTTTGGTGTATACTTATATAATTATCACATAATCTTTTAAGATACACATTGACATCTTTATAAAGGCTATAAACTGCTCCTTTTTATTTCCAATTTTTAGCCGGCCAACTTACCAACACATGTGCTGGCTCAGATGTAAACACTTTGCCCACAAATCTCAGGAGAATTTAACTGGCTGCTGTTGTTTTTGTTCTCTACTGAGTTGAAGTGATAATTCAGTACTATTGGGTGGAATGTGTTGGGCAAGCCCTTCCTCTGTCAAAGTACTCATGTAATCAGGCTCCTAAAGGAAACTCTTTGTATACCAAGCCTTCCTGTTCTCTCTCTCCTCAAGTCTGCATCCTGCCTCTTAGCTCAAATAGGTGAAAAAAAATGGCAATTTTCTTGTATGTTTGCTTTCATTAATCCTGTTTGAAGGGCCATCCTTGTTGTAGAGTGTATCACTTTTTTGTTCATTTCTGTGGCTCAACAATATTGTATACACCACATTTTTAAATCCATTTGCCCATTGCCAGATATTTGGCCTATTTATATCTTTTAGGTCTTAAGGATAGTACAGCTATGAACATGTGCACGTGTGTTTGTTTGGACGTTTATTTTAGATTCTTTTTAAGCAAACAGCTAATAGTGGAGATACCAGGAAAGAAATGGTGATAATCTTTCATGCTGGGTACCTCACTGCCCATTCCTACCAGCGATGTGGGGGGGGGGGTCTGCCTTTCTCTATGCTATGTAAATCTCCCTTGCCATTTCCCTTTTAATTAGAGTTGGTAGCTACAGAGTGGTCAACGTGGCATTGATATGCATTTTTGTAGATACTAATTTTCATGAGTTTATAGACAGTGAGCAGGCGTTATCTGGAGACTTGTCTGCCTTTTGTCCATTTTTTAGTGTATTTTTCCATCTCAGATGTTTGACTTTAAAATGCTTTCTTTCATTGTGCACAATGTTTTTCTTCATTTTTTTTTTACTTTATCTTTTGGTTTATAATTGTTTATAATTTTGATGGCTTTTTATCAAAAAATCCATCACAGAATTCCAACAGTAAAGATTTGCTGTTTTCTTCTATGTGATTTCTTTTAGCAATTACATTCATGTTGTTGGCCCATTTATGGTCAAGTGGTGCAGAGTACAATTCCACATTCATTTTCTTGCACATGAGTATCTAGTTGGCTCAGCACCATTTGCTAAAGAGATAATTCTCCCATAGGGATATTCTTAATAGTCTTGGCATCCTGACAAAAGTTCAATTGACCATAGATGCATGTTTAAGTCTTTCCCATTGGCCCAGAAGCCTGTTGTGCCAGTGGCAGGGATTGTTTCAAATCTGTAAATAGATTGGGGAAATATTGCCAATTTAGTAACAAAAAAATGGTCGAATTACTGAACATAGATTTATGGATTGTCTTTCTATTCACATAGTTCTTTCATTGCTTTTAGCATTGTGTGTGTTGTTGTTGTTGTTGTTGTTGTTGTTGTTACTGTTGTTGTGGTTGCTTTCCAGTTCTGGGGATCAAACCCAGAGCCATACACGTGTTAAGTAAGCATCTCCCACTGAGATACATCTGTGAACCCATGGAGTCAAGAAGAGGTCTTTCTATCACCTGGAGTGGCAGATAGTTGTAATCTGCCAGGTGCATGCTGGGAGTCAAACCTGGATTCTCTGGAAAAGCAGCAAGAGCTCTTGACTCCTGAACCCTCTCTCTAGGCCTTGACTTAGAATTCTTGATCCCTCTGCCTCAGTCTCCAACGCGTTAGGATTGCTTGCAGGCACCACCACTTTTGACTTGGAGAGTCTACCCATTTACATTTAAATTAATCACTGACAAGAAAAGATTTTCTTCAGCCATTTTCTTTTTTTTTTTTTTCCTATGTCTTATATCTTTTGGTTGTTTCTAACTTCTTCTGTTGTGACCACCTTTTGTGTTGAATTGGTTATAATGTACTTTTTGGAGACTCTTCTCACACAAGTTAAATATTTTCTTAGTGGTTACCATGGGAATTACAGCAGTCAGAACTAATAACAAATGATTTGATAGTAAATGAGCTTAAAAATCATGCAGAACTCAGGTACCCATTAACTTGGATTTATCATTATGTTTCATTTGTTTATCTTTTAAATCATTTAAGAAATTATAGTTTGAATATAAAATGTTTCTCACAGGCTCATGTTTGACTACTTAGTCTCCAGCAGGTAGGGCTGTTATTAAACCTTTGAGAAATGAAGCTAGCAGATAGAGAGTTCTGGGGGTAGGCTTGAGGCTTATCACTTGGTCCTGCTTCAGGTGCAAGATTTCTTCTTGCTGATCTACCATGATGGGAGCAAGCCATGCCACAAGCTTCTAGCATCATGTGTGGTGTCCCTGTAGTGATCAGACCTTCCTCACTGTGGTAGACCATTCACATCTAAAACTGAGCCGAAATAAATGTCTCTTCCTGTAAGTTACTTCTGTTGGATACTCTGTCTCAGTGGTGAGAAAAGGAACTAACACACTGACCCATGTTATTATGATGCTGGCTTTTAATAACTGTTAGCCAGTAATATCATACAGCGGTTAGCTGTTATTATAATGCTAGCTTTTATTAGCTGTTAGTCAGTTCAGTAGCATCTTCGTATAGCACTGAGCTGCCCCATGGGACATCCTTTCACTTAACCCAAAAGACAGTAACAGATCCCCAGGGTTTGTTTGAGCACCCCTCCACTTCCCCTTTCCCTCTTTATTTGCCAAGAATTCTAGTTATGCTGAATACAAATGTCTCCATAATACACCATAAATACACTGATTGTCCTGTGGGCACTTTAAACACATCATCCCACTGATTTGTGGCATCTATAGTTTCTGATGAGAAATCAAATGATAATCCCGCCAAGAATTCTATCCACGACAAAGCATTCCTTTCTTGATGTTTCCAAGTTCTCTGTGCCTTTGTCTTTGGACAGTTTGAGTGTGTGCTTTGTTGTGGGGAATCTTGACGTTTGTTCTCCTTGGCATCTGTTGGGTTTCTTGGATGAACAGATTTGTTTTCATCTCTGAAAACTTTTTAGCGTCGTTCTGTTGGGTATTCCTTCTCTCTCCTTTTGCCTCTTCCTCTGTCTGGAAGGAATATGTAATTGGCACAGTGTGCAGTCCAGTAAAGTCCCTCAGGCCTCCCTGACTCTGCTCACCTTCTTTTATCTTTCCAATCAAGCTGCAGGATTCCTTCAAGTAAAGGGATGTTGTTTTGCTTCTCAGATCTAGTGGTGACCAGTCTCAGATTCCAGAACAGTTGCTTCTCTCTCTCTCTCTCTCTCTCTCTCTCTCTCTCTCTCTCTCTCTCTCTCTCTCCTAATTTTTGTGAGGGCACCCAAGAATCTGTTCTTGTCCTCTTGTCCTTCTCAACCTCATGTGTGTATGTACGCACGTGTGTGTGTTTGACATATACATATATGTGCATTTGTGTGCAGGTGTGTGCAGCCCCTGTGTGACTGTGCAAAAGCCAGAAGTCAGTGTCAGGTGTTTTCCGCTATTTTGATCCACTTTAATTTTTGAGACAAGATCTCTCACTGAACTTAGAATCCCAGGTGCTCAGCTGTTTCCGATAGCAGCACCTCTGCAGGGTAGGGACAATGAGTCTGCATTGGCACATCAGCTGCCAGAGATCCCAACCTGGGTGCTCATGCTTGTGCAACATGCACTCTGTCCACAGAGCCATCGCCCCAGCTTCCTCTTTCTCTGCAGTGCTGTGCTCACTCACGTAAGGCCGGCACTCTCCTGCCGATGCTGAGCCACATCCCTAGCCTTTATACTCCGAATTTCTAAGACCACTCTCTCCTTCCCGCTTACAGAAATGTTTATTAATACGTGTAAGGTGTTTTATAAGTGTTTCTAGATAAGTTCTTTAATCAAGAGTTTGCCTTTTCTTTGAAGGACTTCAAAATCATCCACGGTTTAAAGAAAAAAGGGTTTCTCAAAAACCCAAACAAATATCTAGCATAATTGAAGAATATGGCACCCGGCTCTATAATTACCAGGTGATGTTTCATTAAATTCTTGTTGCATGTCACTCATTTAAAACTGAGTAGGCTGCAAGGTGAGTCCAACTTGCGTTATGTTTTCTTGGTTTTGGGAGAACAGCCAATAGCAATCATAAAGCAAGTGGGGGTTCTTCTACGTGGTTTTATGGCTAAGAAATCTCCCCATTTCTCCATACCTTTTGACCCATGCAAACACCCCAGCAGAAGCTTCAGGGAAGAGGGAAGACAAATGATACCAAATGACTAACTTCCCCCATCCCCAGCCAGGTCAGTGCTTCCCTTTGCCTAGAAGCTCCTGAGATCTCAATGAGATCTTCCTACCCACTCTCTACTCCGTTACCATCTCTTAACTTTCTTGACTCCTCCAGTTTGCTTCCTTGCTCCTTCCCTCTCCCGTTCCCTCTCTCCCTCCCTCCTTCTTTCTCCTATCTCCTTCCCCATCTTTCTTTGTTCTTCCTCCTTATTGTTTGTTTTTTTTTCTTTTGTGGAAATATGATTTCTCTGTATATATAGGCTTGACTGTCCTGGAACTCTCTTTGTAAACCAGGCTATCCTTGAACTCAGAGATGCCCCTGCCTCTGCCTCCTGTGTGCTGGAATTAAAGCTGTGCACCATCACCCTCCCCCCCTGCCTAGTTTGCTTTCTATTGCTGTGATTAACACCATGACCAAAAACAACAAGGAGAAGAAAGGATTTATTTGGCCTGCACTTCCACATCACAGTTCAACATTGAGGGAATCAGGGCAGGAACTCAGGACAGATACCTGGCTGTAGAAACTGAGGCAGAGGTCATGGAGGAGGCTTGCTCCCCATGGCTTGCTCGGTTTGCTTTCTTAAACAGCCTAGGGTAGGCACCATTCACAGTGGGCTGGACCTGTGCACAGCAATCATTAATCAAGGAAATACCCACTGCTTGCCTATAGGACAATTTTACTGAGCTATTTTCTCAATGGAGCTTTCCCTTTCCCAACTTGTTTTAAGTTGCCAGAAACCTAAGCAGCACACCAACTTTAGTCCTGGACGAAAGGCCAGCCATGTGAAACCCCACAGACAGACATTTCCTGAGACAGCCTCTACAGCTCGAGGTCTTTACGTTTTTGATCCTGGAACCAGGAGCTGACCCAGACCCTAAGCCATCCTCAGGAAAACAGATGTGCATCCAAAGTGGGCAGTGGTACTTCACCTCCAGAAACAGCAAACAAGGCTGCCATCCTGGAGTTCACATTCAATGTCCCTTTCTATCGGATGTGTGAGTGTAAGACCACCTTCCCAAACACGGCAGGCCAAAGAAGACATCCATGAAATGTGCTCTTGTGTCCCGTGGTTTTTTCAAGGGTCCAAGTGTGATTTCAGAAGAAAGACAACTGAGCAAAGAGGCAAGGTTCAGAACTGTTTTTCTCCTTTATTTCAGGCTAGACTTCGACTCCCTAAGGAGCAACTAGAACTATTAAAGTGAGTGGGGCTTTGTACGGGCCAGTCTCTGCTGTGATTCCAAACACTGGAACACTGGGGTTTGTGTTTAGAAATGTATAGAACTGAAATAATTTTCCTGTATTAGACTTTATACGTCATGCCAGTCAAGGGCACTTTTCCTGGCCATTGTTCTTTACTCACCACAAAAAGCCAAACTTGTCTAAAATACTATTTTCAGCCAAGCTGAGCCTGATCCTATAAGTCCAGTACTCAGAAGGCTGAAGCAGCAAGATCCTGGTTTTGAAGCCACCGCTGGCAAGGCTGTCTCAAATAAAAGTGAATCTCTGAATGGGGAAATGAATATAAATAGTAGACATTGTGTGATCTCCAGGCTACAGCTTCAAAACACTTCTCTCTACTGCACATGGAGTGCAGGGCATCCCAACTTGACAGGGGTGACATCAGGGTTTAGCATTCACCTGTATGAAGTTACTTGTCTGAGGACAAGGGGGGTTGCTTGCCTCCTGCCTGTTCGGTGTAGAAAAAGCCACGCAAGGATTCCCTCTGACTCTGGTCTTCTGAGTGGCCACCTTGTTTTCCATACACGCTGAAATGTCATGAGCAGACAGAGGCACCCGTTGTTGGCCCTGAAGCTGTTGGCGGGAGCTTCACTGTTTTCCTCTTTCACCTTGTGGTTCTTCCGCATCCAGGAAGGAAAGTCAGACTTTGGAGAACAATTTTCGTGAAATCCTGCTTTTAACTGAACAAATAGATGTTTTGAAGGCATTACTTAGAGACATGAAGGATGGCATACACAATCACAGCTGGCCTGCCCACCAAGAGGCTGTGCAGAACCAGGGCACCACTGAGGTTCTCGATGAGGTAAGGCTGTCTGGGGCGTGTGCGCGGGGGTGGAGGTGGGTGAGACATTTAGCCCCAGGGTGCTTATGCCACTTCCTTTACCAACTGGGTATCAACTGTCATTAGCTATGTCCTCTGGGATCCCCTGATTGGCTTCATTTCACTAGTGATGTCCCTGGGACTCTACTTCCCCACCAATGCTGTGTTACAGAGGGGACGTTGCGTTGTGATACCGCTTACCCCTCACAAAATAACCACCCAGTGGTTCAGAGATGGCGATCTGTGAATGTCTGCAGCAAATACTCGCTAGCAATACGTTTCCATTCTGTCCTGAGAACTATGCCTCTAGGAAGCTCTACACTTAGGCCAGAAGCATCTCTGCATTTTGCTCTCCCACTGCCTGGACTGCTTGCTACCAATTTCACCTCCCCACGTCTAGGTTTGAAATGTGTAGAAATCTAACCCTGGCCTTCCATGGCTCCAGACTCTAGCTTGTCCTTGTAATTGTGACGCAGTGTTCGAGTTAGTCAATGATAAATTCAACTGTTGTACCCGCCCAGGGTACTTGTTTATTTTTGAACAAGAGAAGCCTTTAGAGTCTAACGCTGATTCAAGTGGGTGAAGAATTGCTGTTAAAAGCAACCATCTGGCCTATTGATTCTCAGATAGCTATGGAATATTCCAGTCTTTATTGCTAAGTATAGGGCATTAGTAAAGGTCCCAGCAAGCAGCATGCCTGACCACAGCTCCATCTCATCCCGTGGGAAGATACCATGGTTCAGCAGGGAGAGCTTAAGAGGGAGCCCTAGGGACGCCTTCCTGTGGGACCAGGGTTCCCAGCATACTTTAGCTTTAGTTCTTTGAGTTGTCTGAGAAGGGTCACTCCCACAGGGCTGTGCACGAGACATCAGAAGGCACCGGTGCCTATCTCTGAGAGTAGCTGGGAACTCTTAGGACTCTTCAGATGAAGGAGTTTGGGTCCAAGCTCATGAAACAAGGGGTAACTATGCAAGCAGTTGGTAGAGAATAATAACGGAAAACTGCTTCTCCAATCTTCACAGGAAGTGTCAAACTTGGTACATTATGTGCTTAAAAAGTTCAGAGGGGACCAAATACAGATGGCTGATTACGCCTTGAAGTCAGCTGGTGAGTACAGGGGAATAGTGAAAGATGAATTTTTTAAAAAAAAAAAAAGGAAAGGAATGCTTTAAGACCATTTAAAACTCTTTATTAGAAAATGCCACATATCCCTATGACTTTGAGAAGGGGTGAAATTAACAATTTAGACACTAAGGAAAATATTAGAAATGGTTGCCTTTGATTGTTTCCGGGATTCCATCAGCATGTATCTAGAAGGACCCCAGAGAAAACGGAGATGCCGCAAGGAAGTCAAGCAGGAAAGGGAATACTTAAGCTCAGCAGATGGGCAACACTGTGTATTATATGAACCAAAATGAGATACCTTACAGGGATGCTAGATGCCGTATTGCAGACTAAATGCTGCCGTTTAAAGACGGCTTACTAAGTAAGGTGCTCAACATCTTCCCAATGAAATTAACTCTAAAAGATCACTTAGACTGTGAATTGTAATCTCCGCAGTCTATGGGCAGTGCAGAGGGGAGGAGGGAAAGGCAGGGTGTGAACTGTAATCTCTGTAGTATGTGGGCAGTGCAGAGGCGGGGAGAGAAGAGCAGGATATGAACTGTAATCTCTGTAGTGTGTGGGCAGTGCAGAGGGGAGGAGGGAAAAGCAGGACTTGAACTATATATAGTCTCTGCAGTCTATGGGCAGTGCAGAGGGGAGGAAGGAAAGGCAGGGTGTAAACTGTAATCTCTGCAGTCTGTGGGCAGTGCAGAGGGGAGGAGGGAAGGGCAGGATGTGAACTGTAATCTCTGCAGTCTGTAGGCAGTGCAGAGGGGAGGAGGGAAGGGCAGGGTGTGAACTGTAATCTCTGCAGTCTGTGGGCAGTGCAGAGGGGAGGAGGGAAGGGCAGGATGTGAACTGTAATCTCTGCAGTCTGTAGGCAGTACAGAGGGGAGGAGGGAAGGGCAGTGTGAGGGACAATGCTGTTGAGTGAACTCATCTCTTCTAAGGTGCAGACCATCAAAAGTCACTAATGAGAAGTGGATAATGATGTGTTGAGTAGAGACACCACATACTTAAAACCCTCCTGTAAAGAAAACTATGTCTAGGGCTACAGCTCAGCCATGTAGTACTTGCCTGGTGGACACTAGGCCCCTGAGCACTGTGATAATTGTACTATGAATTCATAAGCAAACACAGAAAACTCTAAGCTCAAATGGTCCACTTGCCCTATTTATCATTTCATAGTATTTGTTTGTTTTTTATTTGAGACATTTCTCACTATGTAGCTCTGTCCTGGAACTCACTATGCCTGCAGACCAGGCTGGTCTTGAACTCAGGGAAATCAGCCTGCCTCTGCCTCCCAAAGTGCCGGGGTTAAAGGTGTGCACCACCATGCCCCAGCTTCATTTTGTAACATCTTATAACAAACTGAATCCAGGGATACACAAGAATGATAATAAATTTGTATGAATAAGTACGACCTCTTCTGAGACTAAAAGCCTTATCCTTTGAAATTATATCTGCACCATTTGCTACCTCAATAGATTTAACAATCTGGTCATTGTGGTGTTTAGGTAAATTAGAATTATTTAATGACATTCAATTCACTCATGATTAAAAATTCTGAACAAACTAGAGAGATTTTCTTCAACCTGACAAAGAATGTCTGCATACTTCCTATTTCAACACAGTGATTTATGGGAGACTGGATGGCTTCTCCTAAGGCCAGAAACAATGGCCTTAGGAGAAGCCATGGTAAGGATGGCCATCCACTCTTACCATTCTTGGTTACCAGTGCCACAGAAGTCCTAACCCATGCTCCAAGACAAGAATTGGAAGAGAGAGAGAGAGAGAGAGAGAGAGAGAGAGAGAGAGGACACAAAGTAGGCAAACTAGAAAAGAACTAACATATGTCAACTTTTAAACAACATGATTGCTAACACAGAAAAAACAGGGCAACATATCTACTAGAAAAACTGATGTTTGTATTGGTGTGTGTGTGTGTGTGTGTGTAGGTGGGTGTAGCTGGAACATTTGGTAGCTGGTTTTCAGGATTATCATAAAGGCCTGGACATCAAAAGATGGCATAGAACACAAGTCAGTCCACATGAATATGGTAAATTGGGTTTTGGCAAAACGGAAAAGTCAAGCCAGTGGTTCTGGAACAAAGGGCATTCATTGCAGACTAAACCTTAGCTGTAATTTACCAGATATGAACCTAAAGTCAGAGTGTAAGGCATGAAGTTATCCAATTTCTAGAACAAAAAGTAAAGGAAAGAGGAGTAGTTTTTTACTCATTATTTTGTTGCACTAGGGACTGAACTCATGGTCTCTTGCTTGTATGATAAACACCCTACCACTGAGCTATATTTAGACCTTTTCTAAATTTTTATTTTGAAGCAGGGCCTTGATAAGTTCTCCAGCTGATCTGGAACTCACATCATAGCCCAGGTTGGCCTTGAACTTCCGATTGTCCTTCGCCAGCCTAGGAAAGGTTATCATAAAGAAAACACTGAAACGTGACCAAAGGAAAAGAATGGAGAGTTAGGAGAAATTAATACTAATTAATTTCTCTTCTGAAAAGGAGAATTGAGAGAATGAAAATTCACAGGCTGGAGAGAGAATATTTATTTACACATTAATTTAGCAAAGCTCTTGGATCTAAAATTTATGAAAGTTTTCAAACTTCAATAATTATAAAACAGAAAATCCAATTTCAAAACTGGGCAAAAGATCAGAAAACACTTTATTAAAGAAATTCAAATATGAAAGGAACATGAAAAAAATACTGGGCATTATTATTCATTAGTGAAATGGGACTCCAGAACACAATGACGCGTCAGGACACATCGATCAGAGTGACAGACAGCGAGCCTGCCAAGTGCTGCAGACACCGGAAAGCCCCGGGCTTCCATCCACGGTCCGTGGATGTGTAGATACTAAGTGGTACATTTGGAAGGCGACCTGACAGCTGCCTCTCAGGTTAAATATAGCCCTAGTGACCCTGTTGCGCCACCTCTAGGCATTCACCTAAGAATTAAATATTACACTTACAGCAAAGTGTGCACGCCAAAACTGGGGGTGCAGATCAGTGCCAAGAGTGCCTGCTTAGGGGCCCATAAGGGCTTGGGTTTGAGCCTCAACAAAACCCGTGCGAGAATGCCTGCGGTGCCTAGACTGGCAATCACCACAATGAGAAATGTCCAAGAGATGAATAAAGCACTCTAAAGGCAGCATAAAGAACGGCTCTGTGGTACTCGCCACTGCACAGGGATCGCAAATGCTTTATGCGAAGCCTAAGCTGCCACATGCAACAAGCTGCAGAATGCAATGCACCACAAAGAGACAGTAAAAGGAATGGCTGGGATAGGTGGGTGTGTGAGGGAGGACGGATCAGACACTGCTCGGCCTGGGGCTGGAGGCTGAAGAAAATGGGGAGGACTGCTACTCACTGTGCTCTTTTATTTTATTTTATTTTATTTTATTTTAGTTGAGCTTACTCATCTTAAATTTGCCACATGATGGCTGGCATAATTCTGAATATGCTAAAACAAATAACACTGAACCGTAAATGGGTGAATTACTGGGTGTGTGAATTATTTTTCAAGAGTGCTAATTAGAACTAAAGTCTAAGCCAGTGGTAGTAGCACATGCATTTAATCCCAGCACTCCAGGAGGCAGAGGCTGGCAGAAACCATCTTGAAAACCCAACCTACCAAACAAACAAACAAGCAAACAACGCAAAAACAAAATAACAAAACAAAAACCTAAAAAGTTAATTAATTAATTAAAATAATGAATAAGCATGAGTTTCTTCAAAACCTACAGATAAGTGTTTTTGGATCCCTGGAAGTGGGTTTCTCCACCAATACAATAAGCCAACTAAAAGTTGAGTTAAAGCCGGGTGGTGGTAGGCTTTAATCCTAGCACTCAGGAGGCAGAGGCAGGCGGACTTCTGTGAGTTCGAGGCCAGCCTGGTCTACAAGAGACTTTTGGTGGTCTTTCTAAGAGAGCAGGGTTTGGAGCCCGAGGAGTGTAACTGAGGTGGAGTCTCGAGGCAAAGATTACAGCCAAACACCCACAATTTTTTCTCATGTGATGATTCTAAGGGGGAATCAGATTTATATTAGCTTAGCATACAAAAGGGATTTTCCTATCCAGCAGGTCATACAAGTAGGGATATTAATTGTTAGATAAAAGATGCCTGCTTCAGTTTCAGTTTGGGAGAATGGAAAGCAACTGCAGGATAAGCAAGCCCCAAGAACTGTATAACGTAAGACTGTTACTCAAAACTTAAGACACAGTGGTGTGTGTGTGTGTGTGTGTGTGTGTGTGTGTATGCATATGGTGTTCATGGATGCCAGAGGTCCCTGTGTCCCTCGAGCTGTTGTCAAAGGTGGCTGAGAACCACCTGAAGTAAGTTCTAGGAATTAAAATCAGGTCCTCTGGAAGACTTAACTGCTGAGCCATCTTCCTATTATTCAGTATCTAAATTTCAAGTTTAAATTGGAGATTTGTAGTTCTTCTTGTTATGTGTGGCAACCATGGGCCCATATTTAATAGTTCAAACTGTGCTATCCCAGACAAAGTTCATAGTGTAGATGCCTGGTCAAGAACATGGATGTTAATGCAAGCTCATGGACTTCAGGGTTATCCTGCGCTACTCAAGGGAAATTTAAAGAAGTGATTTGCATTTTAAAATTTCTCATGTCTCAAGTATGTTTCCTTCCTAAATGAAACAACGTGAGGGATAATGTTTGCTAAATCCCTTTATGCTTTTATTACAATTAAACCTCCTACAAAATATTAAAGTCTGATGAATTTGCATAATTATTGTTACAAAGATAATATGAAGGGCACACACATGGTGTGGCTTTGCTGCTTTTTATTGAGTGAAGGAGGCTGACAGAAAATCTAATTTTCTGGATGCTGATAAATATAGTATATGTATTAGTTTTAGTTTTGATTCAATTGTTCCAGTATTTAAGAATTTTTTATTATAAGTTTCAGAAATTTTGTGAAACTAGAAAAATGAAACATGACTTTCTGTCTGGATATGGTGCCACAGTCCTATACTCCAAGCACTTAGGAGGCTGAGGCAGGTGGATTGCTCCAAGTTCAAAGTCAGTCTTCAATACTTAGTGAGTACCCTTTTCAAAACCAAGAAGCAGATGAGCAAACACATTTCCGGAAATGACAGGATGTCAGTAGTTTATACAGGCCTGTCTGAGCCCTGAGTGTGAATCTGACTTTGTGACTTGGCCAGTAGTAGCTTTCTAGGGAGATCACTGAAATCCAGATGGTGTGTGTTAGGTTTTATGCATTAAATTTAAAATATTTTGCAATTTTAGGAGCCTCTGTAATTGAAGCTGGGACCTCAGAAAGTTACAAAAACAATAAAGCAAAACTGTACTGGCATGGGATAGGGTTCCTCAATTATGAGATGCCCCCAGATATGATTCTTCAGGTAAGTGCTAACCAGGACGACATTACGCCTACCTTACAGTTTTGTTATTAAGGACCATGATTGTGTTGATGTCTAAACCAGAGGCAAGAATAATCACACTGCCTATAGAGCCAGTATACTTCTTACATCTCTATATCATCACACTGTGAACATTAATAATTAGTAAACTATTATTAATTACTGCATTTTTAAGATCAGAAAACTAGAGTTTGTCAAAACCCAGAATTCCATACCTTTCATTTCTATTGATTCTGTGACCTCCCCTTTTCCACTGAAAACGTCAGTCATTCAACAGACATTTGCTAAGAGAGGCTGTCCTCCAAATGCCAGGCCGGCATTAGGTGCTATGCCAATCACAAGTTCTCACAGGGTTGACTGTAACAAATTTTCACTTAGCCTTTCATTCACCTGGAAAGATCATGACTGTCAGCATGCTGTGAGCCATGTATCAGAGGCTGCTTTCAAATAGAAAATTGTCTTCAGAGACAAACCTGCATTCTCTTCTTGCCAGTTACAATTTTACATCTAGTAGAAGAAATGTTTCATTTTTCTTCTTTACCACCAGGACCTCCATTGCCGTTATTATTCACCATTGGCATCTCCCCATCAACCGTCACTAAGGTCACCTTCACTTTCACTACCACAAGCACTGTCAGGTCTGCCACCACCATCACTTCCACCATAAACGCCATTGTCTCCTTAGTCATCACCACCATCACCCCAGCACCATCAGCACCACCATCACAATCAGCACCATCAGCACCATCAGGACCATCAGGACCATCAACACCACCATCACAATCAGTACCATCAGCACCATCAGCACCACCATCACAATCAGCACCATCGGCACCACCATCACCCCAGCACCTTCAGCATCACCATCACCCAGCACCCAGCACCACCATCATCCCAGTACCATCCACACTTCCAGCTGTAGTTGTCCTTCCAGCAGTCCAGTTGCAGCAGTGAAAACAACACCCTGCTGTGGTAAAGGCTCCAATGGACAGAAGCACAAGTGCTCTGGATGAACAGCCAGACCCGGGGTGTTCAGGAAGGTCTCCTGTTGGCTGGGTGTCCAAAGGATCTTACAGTTGCTAGTGATGAGGTGTTCAGTACTGAAAGTTTAGATTTGCGTACCCAGAAATGAGATTCATTTCATGTTTTCTCTCCAGCCAGATGTCCACCCTGGAAAGTGCTGGGCCTTTCCAGGTTCCCAGGGTCATATCCTGATCAAGCTGGCCAGGAAGATCATCCCGACAGCAGTCACCATGGAGCATATCTCAGAGAAGGTGTCCCCCTCGGGAAACACCTCGAGTGCACCCAAGGATTTCTCTGTCTATGTGAGAAGCTGTCTAAAAGCTGACATTCAGAGTGGGTGGAGATAGAGCGAGGGTGTTAGACTGGGAAGGACGAGCTACCCTCATGTCTTTGGGGGTTGAACCTAGTGTCTCTTGGAGGCTAAACCAGAAATCTTCTACTGAGCTATCTCCGCCCTGGACTCTCCGTTGAACTGTACACTAGCTTCTTGTGTATCTTATGTCTAGGGTGTTTTCCTTGGTAGTTACAGACTGGGAGGACTGGACCTATGATTTCTGTGTTTGATTTTATATTTTTTCTTTACAACTAAAAAGTTACACACATACACCTGAAATGCGGGCTATTTATGTAAACTTCATAATGCACCTTCTTGCTTCTCCCTGTTCCCAATTCTTTTTCTCTCAAAGGCCCCACCAGCAGCAGTCTTACCTGCTACTGGGGAGCCTGCTTCCATATTTTCCTTTATCATTATTTCTTAATTTTTGAATGTTAGATATTATTTGATGGCTTCCTCCAATAGAAGATGAAAATCACATCTTTTCTGTGGCTCTGCCCATTTGATAGTTTTGTCTTAAAAAAAAAACACCCATTTGAAGTGCACACTTCAGTGGTTCTAGCATTCACACTTCTGAATCCACCATCACAATTTTAGAACATTTTTGTCGCCTTCCAAAGGAACCCCATACCGCTTAATTTTCACCTTCATCCCCCATCACATCCCTAGCCCTTGGCCACCGGGAATGGACTTTGAGTCATAAATTTACCTGTGCCAGACACTACCTTCATCACACTCTGCACTCTCCAGTGAGGGATTAACACAGGTTTAGCTATGATGTAGCTCTTGTCAATATTTGACTTCTTTTTGGAAGCCAAGAATAAATATTTGATTGTTTGGGTTTTACTGATCTATTAGTTGGTAGACATCTAAGAGTTATTTGCAGGGCTTTTTATAAATAATGAGACCGTGAATATTTACGAATATGGTAGACTGTGCAAGAGTCTACCACAGATGTTGGACTTTGTTTCTACAGAAATACATACTGAATTGGAGCTCCTAAATCTGTGTTTCATGTTTAAGGCTCTTGATGGGGCAGGAGAGGGATGCGTGTCTTTTTTTCTTTGTTTCAGTCAGGGGTCAACAACGTTTTTCTGATGAGTACTGGGCACTGCTCCCTGCTGGCCAGACAACACTTGAAAGTTACTTTCTTTACTGAACACGTTTTAAACATTTCCAAAGGTATTTGCCGCCTGTTTGTCTAATTTGCTCACTTTGGTGCGTGTCTGTCTCTAATACATTGCCAAGCTTTCCTTGAGAGGCACATCTCCTCCCATTGTTGATTCAAGTCGGATAAACTGCTTCCCTTGCCCTCCCCCTTCCTCCCAGCCATCCCATCAGAGCTCTTCTACCCTCTGGCTCCAATCTGATGATTGCTAGATGAGCCTGGCGCATGACTGATACCGTGGGATCTCATTCCTGCATCCCCAAGTCTGTTTCTCAGCTTCCTTTTCTGATTCATATTCCGTCTCTGAAAGACTGCACCTATTTTATTCTAACGCCTGTGCAAGACTTTTCATTTCTTCCACCAAAACTCTACTCTCTAAGACTTCTGTTTCTACAAATATTGCTTGTTTAGAGTCTTTGGTGCTTGCAGCTTCGCTGTCTTTGCACCCGAAGATACCAGAGGATAGCAGAGTTTCGTTTCATCTTCTGCTTGTTTACAGGGTTTCTGTTGGTCTTATAAGCAGCTTTTCTTGAGTATCTAGATGCTCTGTGGAAGCCCAGTAGCATAGTCAATGCAGTTGACTCTGGAAGGATTCCTGCATGTGACAAGTATCAGCATAGCTGCTCTGCTGCGACCTGCAGAGGAGGAAGAGAACAAGATGGGCCTCAGCTGCACAACCAGCTGACTCAGGAGGACAGCTCTGGCAGGGGCTGGTGGGCAGGGACTGCCATGGACTGAGGGCTCTCAGGAATTGTTGAAATGACAGTCAGCCAAGCCTCAGATCCGAGTCCCTCCCCACCCAGTCCTCTAGCATACCATGGCCCAGATCCCAAGCCTTTCTGGGCTTGCAGCCTAGGTCCCTGTGGTGCTAGTTTCACCTCGAGCCGCAGGAGTCCGTGTTTCCATCTGCTGCTGTTTGACCTTCCCCAGGGTTTCTGTCTGAGTGCCTACTCCTAATTTTTCCTCGAAGGCTTAGCTAGGCCTGACCTCTATCCTTTGATATTACTGGCTGGAGGAAATGTAGCCTACTTCCTGGACCCACCAGTGCTTCTAATCCCATGCTGCTGAGGCTTCCTGATTCCAGCCTCTGATGCTCACAAACATTGCAGTGTTGAGTTAAGGATGAGTCTTGGCAGGCCCTGTCTGACTCTGTTTACTCCCGACTGTTCCTTACTTGTAGGCATTCTGACTGATTCCTCCAGGCAGGAATCACTGAACAAGAACAAGTGCTTCCCATTTTCCTTCTGTATTACAGAATAGATGAACCAAATGCTCCCCCAATGGCTCTTGGCCCTAGTACTCTGAAACAGAGTCTTTCACTGAACTGAAAACTTACCTTCTTGGCAAGGCTTGCTGGCCAGGGGGTCCTATCTGTCTCTGACCCCCAATGTTGGGGGTTACAGGCACAGGCAGCCTTGTCCACATTTTTAAACGGAAGCTGGGAACTTGAACGCAAGTCTTCAGGCTTGCACAACAAGCAATCACATCCACTGAGCCATCTCCCCAGCTCCAGCACAGGCAACTTCAGGTGGACTGTTGCAGCTTGAAGACCTGCACCCATTGCTTTCATCGAGCACCCGCCCACTTGTTACAGCCTCCATTCCTGTTGCTTTCCCTGCAGGGCATGATGAAAAGATGCGAAGGAGAAGAAATGTTCCTAGGTCAGTTCATGTATAACAAAGCGGAAACAACCGTTCAAACATTCAAGCTCCAGGTAATAACCCACCGGGAAAAGGCTAAGTGATGTTTGACCTCATCACTGAGAGGGATTTGCTGGAACTGCTGCCCGGAAATAAGTATGCCTAAAGCAAGAGCTAAGAAAGGCCGTCATAACTCCACTCTGCTTCTTACGTGCATCTTAGAGCACACCCTTTAACTGTATGGCATTGGTGCAAAATGAGTGAGTGATAAGAGGCAGACACTTGCAAAAGCAGTTTCTAGCCCACTCTCACTTGCTACTAGTCCCCTATGTGTTGAGCTTCTCAGTCCCCCCCCCTTTTTTTTTTAAATAGTGCACCCAGCACACGGACAGGAAACAATCTCCCACATGAGCAGTTTAGTTCGATAGTGACTGTCTCATCAGCCTTGAGGAAAGGGGCTAGCTTTGAAGAGGAGACATGAGGTGGAGAGAGGGGGGAAAGAAGGCAGTCAATATTTAATGCCAGATAATGCCAGTAGACCGTTTCTTCCCAAGCCAAGGAGGGGAAACACCCACTGTTAACTGATAAACTTCCCAATGTGCACTAAAGTGTGTAAAATACCTCTTCATTATCTATAGTCAGTCCCCAAAATTGGCCTAGCTGCAGAGATGTGTAGAAAGCATCTCGTGCTATGTAAAGTTAAGTGTTTATGATACTTTTTGGTCAACAATGAAATTGATCCAAGTCTCCTCGATCTTACCACCAAGTGCCCAAACAGCTCTCGACATACAGTGATCTCACACACAGAATCACACCCCAGATGGAAACGCCTTTGGGACTGCACTAAGCAAGTAAAGATTTTCCTTGTAATGTGTATTTTAGACACTACAACATAGCGAAGGTTAACATAGCATTTGCCCTGGGTTCAAGATGTCTTGAGATGGTCTTAACCACATGGAAAGCTAACCCTCCCAGATCCCAAGAGATGGCTGTTTTTGAATGGACATATCTATAGAGTTCTATGTCTGACTTGCATATTCTTTTGGGTTTGGATTCATATTAGCTTTGAGTTTGGTTGAGCTTTTGTTTGTTTTTAACAAAAGAGGGTCTTGCTTATGGTAGCTCAGGCTAGCTTCAGCTCATGCGTCTTCTGCTTCAGCCTTCACAGTCAGTTTTATGGGTCCTGTTTTCATACAACTCTCCTTTTATTGGCACAGAGAGAGAGTGAGGGGGGTCAGCATAGTGTGAGCCACTGCTGAGACCTCCTGAGGCCTTCATGCCCCCATGTTTATGTGCTCATGGGAAACTCCTTGCCAGCTGCTCATCTTCCTATCCACTAGCACTATCTGCACTTGTGCTAGGGAAGGAAAGAAGTGTTCCCACATTCCCCACTCTGTCACTGTGCGTTGGGATTCTTCCAGAGAAACCTTTATAAGTCATTCATGTTCTCTTTGTTTCCAGAATGAAGCATCTGAATCTTTGTTATGTGTGAAACTTCAAATCCTTAGCAACTGGGGACATCCAAAGTATACTTGTTTGTACAGATTCCGAGTCCACGGCATCCCCAGTGATCACACTTAGAGGAGCTGGTGCAGAAGGCGGTGACCATGAAGCTAGAGTGTCCAAGGATGTTGCTATTCCCTTACATCAGATTGTACCCCTAAGAACCGAAGATTTGGAATGGGAGGGAAACCTCAAACTCATACCTACTAAGCAGGAAGAAGTCGATGGATTTTACTAATTAAAAAAAAAAAAACAAGTAAAAGCAATTCAACAGCTTTCGGGCAGCTCACTTTGAGCATCAGGGGGTGATTTTGTATTTGGGAGACGATCTCACTGGGAAGCCATCCTCACTACAGCTTCTGCACTTCCAGGTCTTCATCCCCTGTCTTGGGTGCCAGGCCCACTCTTACCGCCTTAACCCACTCTGAGCTACAGGCTCTGGGCAGCAGAAGTAGAGAAGCCACAGATACTTCTTAAGTTAGAGACAAAAGTCAGCAGCAAGTTCTGGCCACAAATGTTTGCAGGTGACTCCTCAGAGTTCGGTACTGCCCTCTTAAACATTACAAATGGGCTGGCCAGATGGCTCAGCTAGGAAAAGCCCTCTGTGACCAAGTCAGAGTATCTGAGTTCAGTCCTCAGACCATCCATGGTGGAAGAAGAGAACCGGTTCTCCAAAACTGTCCTCTGACCCCTCCATACAAAATAAATATATTTTTTTTTAAAAAATTACAAACAAGTAGAAATTGAAGTAATCTGTTAGCTGTGAAACTGCTGCATGTAAATCAAAGCTACACATAAATAAAAACAATGATCAGATCAAGAGCATAATTTATAAAAGCCACAACAAAGACCATAAGCATCAGGTAAAGGGGAGGAGAATGTATATATGGGAAAGGCCCTATACAGCAGAATGATTAAAAGATTTCAATAAAGGGCAGGCTTGGCTCAACTGTGAAGACATCAACTCCCATTAACCTAATTCGGAATGATAATGATCTCAATAAAAACCAGAAATTTATAGTAATTCTGGAGCAGTCATGAGACAGTAAGGGGTCGGAGCTCACCTGCAGAGAAAAGGTGGAGCATGTGGCCTGCATGCATGAAGTTCTGGGTTCCATCCCCACCACTGAAACAAAAGGAATTATTGCTAAAAAAAAATAATATCCACGTGAAAATGTTATTACAACTTTGTTTTTAAAAGAATTGTTTCTGTGCACAGAGGCAGAACACCTGGAATCCTAGCATTGGGGAAACTGAGGCAAATGGTGCCTGAGTTTGAGGCCAGCCTAAGACATTTAGAGAGGTCTTGTCTCAAATAAGAAACATGCTGTTGACCATCAGGATGGCTCAGTCAGTAACAGAGGCGACCACCTCTGGCGATGAGAATTTGATCCCTCTCTTTACACATGGTGTAAAGAAAGAACCATCTCCTGAGACATGTCCCCTGATTTCCATAGGCACATCATGGCATGTAGGCCAGTACACACATGCCATGGCATGCACATACACACAAAATCTCACACAAAATAAACACATACAAAATGTTTGTCATGCCACGATTTACCACATGACTCACTTTTTAAAAAGAAACATTCTTTTTGGTTTGTATTTTAAATATTTGCATGTGAAATGATGCGCCTTGAATCTGTTTTCAGTTTCTGTGAGGGAAAGAAGCAGGAAGATGGGGAAATAAGATGGGTGGGAGACAAACACTCGAGTGGTCACAGCATCCATGGGGCCTGTCACTCTGCTCTCTCGACATTCATACATGTTGCTATTTCATTGTTAAATTGTTTTTGCAAAGCCAAAATAGGCATAGTTTTTATACAAAAAAATGTGTGGTTTTAAAACCTCAAAAGGTGAACTCAGGACCGCAAGGGGTGCACCCACACACTGAGACAATGGGGATGTTCTATCGGGAATTCACCAAGGCCACCTGGCCTGAGTCTGAAAAAGCATGGGATAAAACCGGACTCACTGAACATAGCGGACAATGAGGACTACTAAGAACTCAAGAACAATGGCAATGGGTTTTTGATCCTACTGCACCTATTGGTTTTGTGGGAGCCTAGGCAGTTTGGATGCTCACCTTATTAGACCTGGATGGAGGTGGGTGGTCCTTGGACTTCCCACAGGGCAGGGAACCCTGATTGCTCTTTGGGCTGACGAGGGAGGGGGACTTGACTAGGGGAGGGGGAGGGAAATGGGAGGCGGCGGTGGGGAAGAGACAGAAATCATAATAAATAAATAAATAATAAATAAATAAATAAATAAAATTTAAAAAACCCTCAAAAGGTATGTTGTAGACTAATTTGATTCTCAATTTCATCGCAATCCATCTATTATTTTTTGAGAATCTATTAGAGAACCTGGCCTTTGTAACATGAGTGGCAGATAGGTTTCCTTCTTGTTTAAGATTTGTTGCATATCACCATAGAACCTTCATCTGGCGATGGATGGAGATAGAGACAAAGACTCACATTGGAGCAATGGACTGAGCTCCCAAGGTCCAAATGAGGAACAGAAGGAGGGAGAACATGAGCAAAGAAGTCAAGATGGCGAGGGGGGCACCCACCCACTGTGACAGTGGGGCTGATCTATTAGGAGCTCACCAAGGCCAGCTGGACTGGGACTGAAAATGCATGGGATAAAACCGGACTCACTGAACATGGTGGACAAAGAGGGCTGCTGAGAAGCCAAGGACAATGGCCCTGAGTTTTGACCCTACTGCATGTACTTTGTGGGAGCCTAGCCGGTTTGGATGCTCACCTTCCTAGACCTGGATGGAGCGGGGAGGACCTTGGACTGCCCATAGGGCAGGAAACCCTGACTGCTCTTTGGACTGGCGAGAGAGGGCGAGGCGAGTGGGGCGTGGGGAGTGGGGGGAGGAGGGGGAAAGGGACAGGGGTAGCGGAAATTATTAATTAAAAAAATTAATAAAAAAAATTAAAAAAGATTTGTTTGCAGTGTTGCTATTTATGGAAGCCTGAAAAAGTATCATCAGAGGGGACGTTTCTGTGACAAAGGCTAAAAACAGTAGTTAGAGCCACATGCTTTGGCACACTGACACATCAGTGGAGCTGACAAGTCCAAGACTTATTTCTATCTGTGTGGGGACTCAGTGAGCACAAACTCACAGGCACCGAGTCTTACTTTTCTCTTGCTTGGGTTACAGCACTACAAATTTGTAATTACTAATAAATTTGTAGTAGGGTTACAAATAAAAGAGGTTGATTTCTGCTCACAGTTCTACCAGTTTCGGAAGGATGCATTTGTCAGTGGCTTGCATACTGGCAGTCTTGAGACTTTCTGTAATTCATGGGAAGAGCTTATGAGACCTAGCCAAACTGGCGCTATGTCGGCCCACCCTGGTTCTTTTTTTTTTTTTTAGTTTTATTTTATTTTATTTATTAAAGATTTCTGCCTCCTCCCCGCCACCGCCTCCCATTTCCCTCCCCCTCCCCCAATCAAGTCCCCATCCCTCGTCAGCCCAAAGAGCAATCAGGGTTCCCTGCCCTGTGGGAAGTCCAAGGACTACCCACCTCCATCCAGGTCTAGTACAGATAACCCATAATCCATTAACCATATGAACAATTAATTGGTTGGTGAACACAGAATCATAATCACCACTCAGTGTTCTCACCCACAAATATCATGAGGGAGGGAACAAGCCATATCCAAAGCGTAGCACCTGAGCGAAACCAAGCAAATGGCTTGGAACAGTTATCTAGCCATTAAGAAAATGAAATGGCTTCTTATTGATTACTTTACAATGTGATAAATCCCCAATATAGCATGGTGAAATATTTACAAGTGGGTAATGAAACCATAAAAGCCTTAATAAAACTGGGGCTAATTCTTGTATGATATTGGAAAGAGGAAGCTACAAAAGCATAAAAATTCCACATAAGCAGCAGCATTGCAAATAAAGAACTTAAACAGAATGGAAACACATATGCCACTCACATTACAAAGGTTAACCTTTCTAAGACAAATTCTCAAAGCAGCAACTCTAACATCAGCCCACCGTGGAAGTGCTAAGCAGTTAATCAATCTGCAGAATGTTCACCCCAGGTGTGCCTTTTCAGCAAATGCTGGCTCACATGGTCCACACCCACCAAATACTGGTCTGTTTCCTCCTGGATTGGATGTGATTCTTCTCAAGTCTTCGTCCCTCTGCACTTAGAACTGCAGAATAGTTCTAGTGCACTGCACTAATGCAATTTTTTTTAAAACCAATGGAATTTATTGAAAGGTTTCATTTGACATCCAAAAGATGAGGAGTCCCTTGATCAACTTCTTAAGCAGAATCACGCTCCTTAGATGAAGACTGTTCCCCAAAAGACATTCGCTCATGCCAGTCTCTACAGGTTGAGTTTCCACCTCACCGTTTTCTCATGTAAACAGTAAGACAAATACTGACTTCCAAATTTGCTGTAGAACCTCTCAGAGATGCCACTTTCTTTCCCTCTGGGGCAATTTTTCCAACACTAACTGCTAACAAGCCCGCAAATAAACGAGTCTTTTCTCCCCCTGAGACTAGTGAAGATGAGCAGGCATGTGACAGACACAGCCACCTCGGCTTTGGGTAACAGTAAAGACATGCTACTCACCTAGACAGCAGCTCGAAAGACGCACCTCCCTGACCTCCAGCTGCATAGACTGAGTGACATTTGACCTGTAATGGACTTCCTTTCCTACGACAAGATCAGGCAGGATATTTTACTCCTATAAGTAAACATAACACCAACATTGCTCTGCAGCTCCTCATGTGACTGAATGGGGCACCCTGAAGGTTTGGACTTCATGAAATCAAAAATCCATTTACCACCTAGATGGAAAATAACAAGCAGGCATTGCATTAGAAAATGCTCTGGCACATAGGACTTCTGGAATTCTCTAGAGTGATTTCTTGAGGAAATCATTTGGAAAGAAAATATGGAAATATCGGTATATCTATCAATTCTGAAATCATTGACTTTGCTTGCTAAAGCTACTTAGTTTAATTGCAAGAATATACAGGACTAGTATTTTCTTCTAAGAAAAGACTGTCAGCTTACTTATATATTTTTTGAGCAAAATTCTTCAATTATTTGAGATTCATCAATAAGGAACATAAAATCATCATTAATATGTACACCTCTTCTTAGGAATTTAAAAATTGTTTTGCCATTTTATTGCATAATATCAATCAATTTCAAAATAGAGGTCAGGTACAATGGCACACTGCTTACAAAGTTTATTTAAACACAGTCTTTAGGAACCGGTGAGATGGCTCAGTGGTAAAGCTCTTGCTTTGAAATCACAGGACACCAAGTTTGAATCTTTGCTTTAAACATACAAGAGAAGCCAGATGAGGTTAGCAAGCATTTGTAATCAGCATTCCTCTGGTGAGACAAGAGGCAGAGACAGACAAATCCCCAGGAACTCATGCTCCAACTGGCCTGGGCTATTCACCAGCTGACAGCAAAGGCACACCCTGCCTCAAACAAGGTGGAAGGTGAACATCAAGACTAGAGATTGTCCTCTGACCTTCACATGACCTCCATGCATGGGTGACCCTGGGTACATGCATGTACACACAGACAATATAACCTTTAAACACAAAATATATGTAACAATGACCTTATTTCATGTGACATCTGTATTTCAAAATTAAGCTCTAAATAAAAAGGCAAATTTTGTTGACATTCAAAAGTGTTATCTGACATTTGGCTTGCCAACCACTTGTATGTCACAGTGCAGACTAGAATTTAGCTTCATGATATATATACATATATATATGTATATATATATATTGAACCAGTAGTCTGCACTATCACCTGTTTTATTAATATCTTAACATTAAATCTGTTAAAGATATCTAAATGTTTAAATTAAACTTTACTGTGTGTGAATGTGCACACGTGGGAGTCAGAGGACAACTTTTGGAGTTACATCAGGGCCTGAATGCAGGCCTTCATGGAAAACACTTTTATCTGCTGAGCCATCTCGAGGACCGCAAAGGTCTTGATTTATATTATTTTCAAAACACTTTAAGAATATTGTGGGGGGGGGATTGGTTATGTGGTGAATTGAAAGAGTGCTTACCTAGAAAGTGGGGAGGCCTGGGTTTTAATCCCCAATATTATCTGAAAATGTTTACAACTATAATCCTTGAAAAAACAGTGTTCTATTCTAGGTTAAAAATTATTTTAAAACAATTCTAAGGACACTATACTAAGAGGGCTTTTATTTGTGTATGGTACTGGGATGAATGCAAAGGTCACAATTGTGTTCGACAACTGTTACACACACACACACACACACACACACACGAGGAGGGGAGAAAGAGACAGAGGAGGAGAGACAAGGGGTGAAAGGAGAGGAGGGGAGGAGAGGGAAGGGGAAAGGAGGAGAGGGGAGGGAGGAGAGAGTGTGTTTGTCTTATTCTCTTTCCTTTTTCCTTCCCTCCTCCTTCTTTCCTCCCCCCCCCTTCCTTCTTTCATTTTAAATAAGCTTGCTGACATAATGTCTCTAAGATGCCCAGGCAAGTCTCCAACTTCTGGCTTAAACACCCTCATTAGCTAGGGCTAATTAATAAGAATTTTATAGGCTCTGTTGAGTTTCTATTGAGACAAAGATGCAGAATTATCAGTTCACATCCACGGCCTTCAGATATCCTATCAAGTAATGCGCTCAAAGTTTTAAAACGTTTCTATGAATTTCCAAAACTTTAAAAACGCTGCTCTGCCAGGTATCCGCGTGTGTTCCAGGACGTAACTTCCCCGCACCCGGGGTGTGGAGTCTCTGTAGCCACGGCAACAGTTGGGCGGCGCTTCGCCGCCTTTGACCCGGGTGAACGGCAGGCGGAACCTCTCCGGCCGCACCGGAACCTCAGTGCGCGCACCCGCGTTTCCCAGTCGGAACGCACGGAGAGGGACTTTCGAGCGCCTCGGGCCGAAGCCGCTGCTGGCCGAGAAACCGCCATGAAGTTTCGCGCCAAGATCGTGGACCTGGCTTGTCTGAATCACTTCACACGTGAGCTGGCAGGGCTGCGGGGAGCGAGCGGAGAGTGCGGCTGCAGCCCTGTGAGAGGACGGGCGGGGTGGAGGGCACAGCTGGGACCCGGAGGCTGGGAGGGCGGCCCTGAGGGGGAAGGATAGCTCCCGGGGACCTTGCCCTTTGCAGTCCTCCCTCGCTCTTCCTATGCCCGCGACTGTGCCTAACCCTGCCCGCGGGCCGTACGCAGCTGTCCCACGGTTACGTGGAATGCACGCCAGATTCCCGGTTGTCAGTTGTTCTCTGAGACCGTTTCATTATTAAACACTGGTGCTGTGGGCTGTGTGCTTCGCAAAATGTCAGCGGCGTTGAAGTCCAAGCGTGATCCGTGAACTTCAAGTTCTGCAAGCTGACCTGTAGGATACCCGATGTCATGCGTAGTAACTACTTTCTTTCCCTCCCCGCTACAGGAGTCAGTAACATGATAGCCAAACTTGCCAAAACCTTTACCCTCCGCATCAGCCCGGAGAAGCTGAATTTCATCCTTTCGGACAAGCTGGCCAGTGGTGGGGTGAGCATGTGGTGTGAGCTGGAACAGGTGAGCAGGAACACCCAGAGTCCCCGGGCTCCAGCCAGGGGTGCTGAAAAAAGGCCTTAAATGCCTGCTTCTGTCCCGCAGGAGAACATTTTTAGTGAATTTCAGATGGAAGGAGTCTCTGCAGAAAACAATGAGATTTATTTAGAATTAACGTCAGAAAACTTATCTAGAGCCTTGAAGACTGCCCAGAACGCCAGAGCCTTGAAAATCAAGCTGACTAACAAACACTTTCCCTGTCTTACGGTGTCTGTAGAGCTGGTAAGTAGGAGGAAAAGGATTTCTGAATTTTTTTGTAAGTGTCTTGTTTTGGTCTAGGGTGTATAAGTAGCTATAAGCCTGAGATTTCAAACAGTATTCTTGAAAGTGAATTAGTTTCATTTAAATATAAAATCTAGTCCAGCATGGTGGCCCATGTCTTTAATCCCAGCACTGGGGAAGCAGAGACAGGAAGATCTCTGAGTTCCAGGACTGCATAGAGACCCTGTCTCAAAATATAGGATCTGGTTCCTGACTTACATGTGAGAAATGCACCTTATCCTAGTCATTTTAAAACAAAGTTTGATTGCACAGTGTTCAACAGGATACTGCTTTTTCCAAACAGTCAAATTGCTAGCTAGAATCTCTTTCTTTTAGGATATTGTCACCTTGTCTAGATGTTTTTATCCACTTCCATCTTAAAATTTCATCATCTGTACTATTCTTAAATACATAGTCCTCAGACTTAAGTAACACATTTGTTTTCGATGCTACTACTAGATGAGTAGCAAGCAGCCTCTCCTCAGAATACACGGAAACACACAGACAAGATGGAGTTTGTGATTTCTAATGTGTCCCTAGTCTTTCACAAATAGCCAAGTCACCAATTAATACCCTCTGAGTGGTTCTCTGGATATGTCGGGTTTTTCCCCACTCCCAGGCTGGGGACATCAATTGGACATTCCACTTGAAGTTTCTCTCCAAAACTTTCCCTTTCTTTAGTGCTCTGCCCAGCCCACCCAGGGCCTCCATTATCTTTACAACTTCCTATTCTTATATGTTCTGGGCATCTGTGGGTGAGTATTATTACATTTGTTTCCAAGCTGGCTATAGATGTCTATTCATGGCTTTGAAACCTTTTATGTCTTCTTAGAGATAATTAGAGCATGCCATGTAACCATAGATTTGAGTTTATTTAGTTTCTTAAGGAAAAGCAAGATCATACTATATAATACTTTTCTAAGTAAGAATGTAAGATACTTTGGTTTCTTCTTTGCTGTTTTGAGACAGGGTCTGGCAGTCTTAGAATTCACTATGTAGACCACACTGGCCTTGAACTTACAGAGATCCACCTGCCTCTGCCTCCTGAGTATTGTGTGTGCCACTCTTCCCAGCAGTTCTGTGGTTTCTGAGTTTTAGAGATGCTTCTAAAAGTAAACATGGTCGATCCTTTCAGAGGTGTGGAAGTGGCAGCATGCTCAGGGCGTGGCACACAATGGTGTCTGGGTTGCCTTGGCATGGCAGATTTGCCTCTCTCTGTCTCCTAAGTTTGCAAATGCTGATGCTTTCCCTCTGCCTGAAACCCTGTGACCTCAAATTTAGCTTCCTAGAGGCTATCTCCTCTTTAGTTCTGATGTCTCTGAAGCCATACCCCAGAGGGTTTTCCTCTCTCCTCTCTAGCAGCCCTTCCTCATCCTCATCACCACTGTGCTTTCTTCAGGCTCTGACGGGTATGTAATCCAGCTCTGTGCACTTGCTTTCTGCTTGCTCGGTTGGTTCCACTGGGGCCTTGTTGTCTCCTTCACCACACTTCTCAGAGACCCGCGGGACCCAAAGCAGAACAGATACACCACGTCAACATTATCACTTGAATAGATTTTGAGGGGATGAATTAAGAACATTGCGTTTGGAATTGAAAGGTTTAGCAACAGTTCTTGTGTTTTGGTTTTCTTTTAGCGTTGACAACATAAAATAGTCTAACTTTTTTCTTAGCAGTTGTCCTCATCCAGCAGTAGTAGAATTGTGACCCATGATATCCCCATAAAGGTGATTCCTAGAAGATTGTGGAAAGACTTACAAGAACCCTCTGTCCCAGACTCGGATGTAAGTGTTGTCTGCAGTACTATTCTTCAACACACAATAAAGGGTGGGGATTGAATTCTCCATTGCTAGTTGTCGTCTTGCTGTGTATGTTACTTGAATTTATATAGTTTCTGAAAAGAGTGTGAGTCAATCAACAAGACTCCAGATGTGAGTATGTGCCTTTTTCTATGTATGTAATCCTGTTAAAGAGCTGATACCCATTTAGAAATGCCATACTTTCTGTATAGAAAGGGGATGGTGATGGCTTGTAACAAAAGAAAATAGAGCCTAAGTTATACTTTGGAAGGCAGTCTACAATGGCTCTTGGCTTTAGGTACAAATTCATGTTTCATAGGCCTAACGAAAGAGCCAGAAAACACATTTTGTTGACTTGGAACTTAGGTTAACAGTGACCTTCTAGCAACCTCTGCATCATTGCAAAGAAAGAGGATGCCAAATGGTCTTTTGTCTCTTGTATATATAAAAAGAAATCAAACAGATACCAGATGAAATGTGTAGTTGGTTAAAAGGTGTCTATGTAGGCTTGGAAAAAGCCAGCATTACATCAGTGCTGTTGGTAACATAGCTCAAATGACTCATGATAATGGCTGGCTTACAGAGTACACAGAAGGCCCCTGGGTCCTTAAACATTTCCCAGAGGAAGGCTTCTTGCTCAGCACTTGAGGTGTATTCCCCTTGGACCTGTATATAGGTATCTCAGCTGATGTACTGTGTTCCTTCTTGAACCAGAACAATGCTCTTGGGAGTATGGTCACCATGGTAACCAGAGCCAGGTATCCAGGTATTTTTATTTGCTTGAATAAGTTAGTGAAACTTTCAAAGTTTCAAAGGGAGTTTATTTGGAAAATTTAAAAATGTGATTCTGAGTTTTTGACACAAGTACATTTCACCGTTGTCAGCTGAGTACCTACTGTTATGGACTCCGTTAAGATTTCTGATCCGTGTGATTTCTCATACTGGTTTTTAGGTCAGTATTTATCTACCAGCCTTGAAGACAATGAAGAGTGTTGTGGAGAAAATGAAAAATATCAGCAATCATCTGGTAAGCGATTGATTACGCCTTCAGAAAAGAGCTGTGAGTGAGCTCCCGCCGTGTGAGTGGCATGTCCTGGAGGTGTAGGTACCCCCTCGTCACCACAAGGTGTCTCTGCTAGTGGGTTTCTCCCACAGAGGCCCCACTCGGGAGGACAGAGCTTGGTATTGCTATCTGGCCTTTAGGGACCTGTGCTTATGCCTTTCAGCTCTCATTCACTGGGGAAAACTTTCAAACTTGCCCTTAATCCCTCGTGTTTATAGTATATTGGGAACATGTTCCAACAGTTCTGGTAATTTGGACAGAGCATTGCAGTTTTTGATGGTCTCCTATTTGGTGCTGAGGATTAAATGGAAGGCTTCATGTAAACTGAGAGCGTATTCCATCACCGAGCTGAGTGAATGGTCGAAGCCCCAGTGCCTTTCACATGTTAGCATGTGTGGGTACATTAGACACTGACATACAGCTGGGCTCCCTTATTTTTCTATATATTTTTGAAGGTCCAAAAATAGCTCAAAATTGATGGACTGTCATCATTTACACATAGTGTGTCCTGAATTCGACATTTATTCACCCCTTAAGACCACATTCCATTATGTTCCTAAATCATTTCAAAGCCAATACCTACCTAACACACAAACCTGTGACTTTTCCAACCTCCAAGGCCACATCTCTGTCAGCCAGGCCCTCCCAGCAGATCCATACCGGCCTGGCCCTGTCATTTCCCTGCTTATTAACCCTTCCTACTCAGTCGCTGTGTCTCTCATCTCCTTGAAATGCTCAGCCATTGTCAGTGTTCAGCCCAAGCTCCTGTAGGGAACTCCCTGCGCTGAACTCCCCACCCCCCTCCGTAAATCAGTATCTTGAAAGCTTCTGTGTCAGAGTCCGGGGCTGGGCCGTCACCCAGTAGTCCGTAATTGATATGTTGCATGGATGGGAGTAACATTTAGCTCCTGGGAATCTTTACATCACAAGAGGATTTGAAACGTAGAAAGTGGTGGGGGTTTTGGTAGTGTTGTTGTTTCTCTCATGCGTCCTCACTTCAGAGCAGTGCTGCCCTCTGAATCAAAAATCCGGCTCCCTTGAAATAGCACACACTGTGCTGGCAGTGCTGTTCACCGCCTCTGCCACGGTGTTGATCCAGTTGTCAGCCTGGCTTCCTCTACGGTACCCTGGCCCAGAGGGAAAAGTCAGGCATTTAATTGAGGGATCATGTGCTTGTTCTTTCTGTCCTGTGGAAATGAGTCAGCAAAGGGGTTAGTGAGAGCAGTGGCAGTTGTTTCTCTTCTGGAGTGCTTTACAAATGCTAACTGGGATGTTACCGAGCTAGAACAGCCAGATGCATACGAGATCTTTCTGGGTACTGGGAGCCAGAGATCTAAAGAACTAAGTAGATGCTTCCAGGGGAAGCTGCATGTCTTAGTAGTTTGTACAATAGAGACAGTTGGAAATTATCTTGGTCCATTTCCACATTTCTAGTGAAACTTCCTAACTGCACCGACAGAGCATCAGTAAAGATCATGAGTGAGTCCCATACAAAGACACTGCAGATTCAGAAGGGGCTGGGGCTGCTGTTGCCTAACCAGGACAGAGAGCTGCAGCTGTGCTGGTGTCTGGTCTGGCCTGGCCTCAGTGTTCACAGAACAGCTTGGGGAGACAATGTCGGGCTCCGACATTCACTTTTTCCCCATGGGGTCCTCTCTTCAACTCCTGTTCTCCCTGCCTGATGTGGGAAGGTTATTTGTCAATCTGTTGTTTCATTGGTTGATCAATAAAGAAAACTGCTTGGTCTGATAGGTCAGAAAATTAGGTAAGGTGGAGTAAACAGAACAGAATGCTGGGAAGAAGGGAAGTGAGCCAGACACCATGCCTCTCCTCTCTGGTCAGATGCAATGGAGCAAGCCGCCAGGTCAGACATGCTGAATCTTTTTCGGTAAGACACCACCTCATGGTGCTACACAGATTACTAAATATGGGTTAAGCAAGATATGAGAGTTAGCCAAGAAGAGGCTAGATACAATGGGCCAGGCAGTGTTTATATGAATGCAGTTTGTGTGTTGTTATTTCGGCTGTAAAGCTAACCATGTGGGAGCTGGGCGGGACAAAAAGCAGGCCTGCCCGCCGCTTCTTCTACACCTGCCCTGGAACTATTGCCATAGGCCAGAGGAGTCTCCTCTGTTTTTAATCTTTCACCATGCCCATACTATTGGTTCTTTTATCTGGAAGGAGATTTGCCAATCAACCTGTGCATGACACGCTACATTTCTGGTTTGGTTGTTGGTATCTGCCTAACTAGTCTGCAGAAAGTCCCACGTGCAGTCTGCAGTCAGCATTCTGCCAGCCAGTAGCACAAACATGCTGCCTAATCTGGAAAGGGGAGGCATCGTCCATGTCACTAGGACCATCCTCTGAGCATTGCAGGCTAAGGATCTCAGGTCTGGGGAGGAAAGGACATCACCCTGCTGGCACAGCTCTGTTGTCATGCTGTAGTTTAGGACATGCAGCATTAGCATGCCCTGGAAACTGGTCAGCACATGATATCTGTCTCCTATGCTTATTGCATAAAATTTCTGAACTCCAAATCTTCTTGTGCTAGAAACAAAACAAGGTAGATTCTCTGAACTCAGATGAGCTCTTGTTTTTGAACTCCTGACATTATACACTATGTTTCCAAGCTCACAGCCTTCTAATCTAGTCGCTTCCTTGGAGTAAAAAGCTTTCATGTTAAGACTTTCAGTGAGCAGAGTTCTTCATTTCTTAACCCACGGTCCTATAATCCGGAATGATAAGTGACCAAAACAAAATGTAGACAGCAATATTTGTGAATGTTCTGGGGTACTCACTGGGGCTCCACAAAGCTCATATGTGGCCTGTTACCATTTACTTCCAACAACTGTGTGCTAATACCTATAGATTTGATTGCTTCTGAAAAACAGTGTGTTAGAAACAAATATCTATTAAGAAGGCAGCTTGCCTTGGCTTTGAATTCACTGCAGGCATGTGTACTGTACTTCCATGCTTCAAATTCTTTTTTTAAAAGATTTATTTATCTATTATTTGTATAGTATTCTGCCTGTATGCATGCCTGCAGGCCAGAAGAGGGCACTAGATCGCACTATAGATACTTCTGAGGTACCATGTGGTTGCTGGAATTGATCTCAGGACCTTTAGAAGAGCAGCCAGTGGGTGCTCTTAACTTCTGAGCCATCTCTCCAGCCCATCTTCAAATTCTTAAAGTCTGAGTAATGGAGCATTAGATTTCAACGCACACATGATCCAGAGTGCCGGACACATGATGCACTTAGTCAGCATGTGAAAGAATTAACAGCAGCCGACTCCCTGAACCTGCCACTCAGCTGATTTAAGATGCAGTTTTCTGTCCTCTCATGCACATCGACATTAGTTTCCTAAGCATCAGGATAAGAGTTTACTTTCCCTGCAACTCCCTTAATGATCATTTAGTGCCATTAGTTGACTCCTGACCAGCAGTACTGGTACCTGCTGTAAACTACTTGAGTGCACCAGAGCCATAAAATGCGTGACAGCTGCACTGCTGCCCCCATTATAGATACTGTGCCTCCAGCCGCAGGTTTCACTTGACCTAAAGGTCTGACTCCAAAGCCTTCCCTCTCCCTGAATCACAGTGCTTCTCACCCTAAATCCTTCTCAGCTCTTCAGTAAGCTGCTCCTACAGAGCTGCTTCTTCCAGCATCACATCTGAGCTCACCTCCAGCAGAGTACGCATTGGTAGGCATTGCTACTGGACATGGTCAGAAAACAGGCAACGTTAGCATGCCCTGGAAACTGGTTGGAAGTCTAGAGCCTGGGCCCATCTTAACCAGACCTCAGGGATTCTCCTGCACAGAAGTGTGATGATGTGGGGAAGGAGAGCTCTTGTTGCAAGAGCCACAGCCACAGCCTACCATGCTTCTTGCATTCAGTGAGAAAGAAGGAAATGGTCATTTCTGAAGGGTACATAGTTAAGGTGGTTTGATCCATCCTTTCTGATCTTTCCTCCCATATAATGTTCTTCCTCTTACCTGGCAGAGCATCTGTCCTGACAAGTTAGGATCCTTTCACTCCATGCCTGCTATAAGGGAGCTCTTACCTCCACTCCACCCTCATCACTTTGCTGGTCCCTCCAGAACCTTGATCCTTGACAGAGTGTCCCAGCAGGGCCCCTCCCTCTTCCCCCTGCTGTCTTCTCCACTAGGGGGATACCTTATTGATTTTAGGGGATATTTGAGTTCTGGGCTTTCATAAACCTCTCTGTGGTTGTTGGGGAAGGGGCTTCAGTGCCCTGTGAGGTGTTAGGTTTGTGACACTGCCTTGTTACCTGGCTTTTGTGGAAGCTGGTACCCATGTGCTGTTCTTTTTCCTCTTTTCAACTTTGGATTTTAATCAATTTGCAGGTTATTGAAGCAAACCTAAATGGAGATCTGAACCTAAAGATAGAAACTGAGTTGGTATGTGTGACAACTCACTTTAAGGATCTTGGAAACCCTATATTACGTGAGTTTTCTTGTGGGTTATATTTTGATTCTAATGAATTGTTTGAATATATATTGAGTTCTTTTAATGAAAACATTGAAATCTGGTTTTCTTTGTTTCACATTTGAGAAGGGTCTGAGATAAAATTTCCTGTCCTTATGACATAATGGCACTAGGAAAGGGGTCAGGCCACCAGGCACTAAGAATGATGCTTCCCTCCCCTGGGATTCAGGTCACAAACAGTGACTTCCAAGAACTCAATAGCTCTTTGTAGCTGGCATTTTCTTTGAGTTGCCAACCAGCTCCCAAATAAAGACACAGAGATTTATTATTAATTGTGAATGCTCAGCCTCACCTTAGGCTTGTCCCACTATTTTAACTTAATTCAACCTGTTCCTATTCATCTTTGGGCCTTTTTTTTTTTTTTTTTTTTTACCTTTCTTTCATTCTGTATGTCCTACTTTCCTGCTTCCTCCATGTCTTTCGGGCTCCTCCATCTCTTTGTTCCCTAAGCCTAATTCCTCCTAAGCAACAGATAGATACAAGACCCACCTCCATCATTCTCCCTACCTGGAAGTCTGCTTATACCTCCTCCCTTGCTATTGGCCATTCATCTTTGTACCAATCAGGTACCTTAGGCAGGCAGGGAAAAAAAGCACCACATCTTTGCATAGTTAAGCAGACATTCCACAACAGCTCTTCATTTGCCACTGTGCTCTGGAGGTTAAGATTCTCGTTTGGACTGGAGTCAACAGCTATCTTTCTCATTTTCTTCTCTAGTCAATTCAGTACCTGTGAAGTTAGATTGGCAAATGCGAATGTGATGCAGATGAACTTGGTCACTTTACATCTCATAAAGGTCAGGAAGGAATGTGAAATCAGTTCAGTGCACCTTGACAGAAGGGGTGGTTGTGCAGCTTGGTGAGCAGTGAGCCTAAATTAGACTCCTCTCCTCAAATAGGGAAGCAGCCAGGGGGCCAGAGAAGAGGTGTCTGGAATGTGGGAGAGCCAATTTCTGATATACATGTATTGTCAAGCGGATAAGATGCCTTCATCACTTTTACAAGTTGTAGTCTACTGGGTTACTAAAAAGAGCTGTATGGTTGATCAGATCATGAGTTCCTTGTTATGTCCAGAGATATTGGATTAAAAAGAAAAATGTCATTTCAGCCTCTGAGAGCGTCTCTCAAAACAGACACCCAGAAGACATGGTCGAGGTGCACATCGACATAAGGAAACTCCTCCAGTTCCTTGCAGGACAGCAAGTGACTCCCACTAAGGCTGTGTGTAGTAAGTTTGCTTTTTCCTTACCCACCTCTAGTCTGATATGCATACAGTCTTCTAAATGCAAATACGCCCAGTTCCAGGAACTGAAGCTCCCTGGGCAGTCCTTGAGCTAGAAGTATCTAGAGATGCTGAAGAGTGATGGTGAGCAGTGTGGTACCAGAAAGCCGGCAGCCATGCTGGACTGGCAGTGATACTGTCTGCACAGTCAGCGCAAGCTTTCCCACAGCAGCGGAGTTCTTCAAATTTCGCATAATCAGAGCCCTGTATATGCTTTTGCCTAGATCTGAGTTTCAGCTTGAGCCCATTGCCTTTCCTTTCATTGCCTACCTGACCTGTGCTCACTACCAAAGTCTCCTCCGTTGTTGGTTATTAATGGCTTGGACCGCATCCTGGCTCTAGTTACACACTGCCCTGTTCCTCTTCCCCTGCTCTCCCTACTGAGCTAGGAAGTTCATCAAGAGCTTCTCAAGGCTCTTTGTCTCCTTGTGTGTGGTTTTTTTTTTTTTTTTTTTTTTTTTTGAAAAGGGCATAGCAAATGGCCTAGACGTGACATCCCTCTCTTTGTGGAAAGTGCCTGGGATGACCTCTCATCCACGAAGCTGTGGGAGATGACCTGGGACTCGATCCTATAGTAATGGAACAGAAAGTTCTGGGTAGTTCTGTCAATGACCAGCCTTTCTGAAAGAGAAAAGGGACGTGTCCTAGTTAGGGTTACTATTGCTGTGATGAAACACCGTGACCAAAAAGCAGCTTAGACAGGAAAAGATTTATTTGGCTTACATTTCTACATCACTGTTCATCATCAAAGGAAGTCCGTACAGGAACTCAAGCACTGCAGGAACCTGGAGACAGAAGCTGATGCAGAGGCCATGGAGGGATGCTGCTTCCTGGCTTGTTTCTCATGGCTTGCTCAGCACGCCTTCTTATAGAACCCTTTGCCACCAGTCCAGGGATGGCCCCACCCACAATGGACCGGGCTTTCCATCAATCACTAATTAGGAAAATGCTCCTTATAAGCTTCCTTACAGCCCAGTCTTACGGAGGCATTTTCTCAGCTGGTGACTAGCTTGTGTCAAGTTCACATGAAACTAGCCAGTACGGGATGAGACAGCACAGAGAGACTGTGTGAGAGGCCGTGGCGCGAGGACACAGGGAGGAGTTTGGTGGTGTGTAGCACAGCCTCTCACAGTGCACAGGACCTCAAGCACTTAGACCATGTACTCTGGTTGCCTCACTTTGGGTACCTGCTTTTACCAGGAAGGCTAATTTGATGAAACCAACCTGGTTTTCCCCCTAAAGCCTAGGTAGCTTCATTCTTTCATCTCTCACACTGTCCCCAGTGTGTGGCAATAGCATGTGCTGTGGCCCCTCACGAGCCCTCAGAGGGAACAAACACCAAGCATAGGAAATGTCTGTGGCAGACATGTGACAGGGAGGATGAAAATCTGTCTTTAACGCCTGGGTCTTTTTCTCCTAGATATTGTGAGTAACAGGATTGTTCATTTCGATTTGCTTCTGGATGACATCTCCCTTCAGTATTTCATCCCAGCCTTGTCCTAGCACCATCTCAGCAGACTTCGGAGCACAGAGACCTCTGTCGTGATGAGAGAAGCCCTGGATGGTGTGCAGGGCAGCTGCCCGTCCTCAGTCCTCACAACACCACAGGCTTGCACTCTGCTCTTTCTCTCCATGCTGGCATAGGTACAAGTGGAATTAATGAAGCAGAGTTAGATAATCATTCCTTCATATTTCTCAAGACCAGCACTTGTCCCCTTATCCCATGGATCTAAGACATGAAGAAGAAAAGACGGAATTTTTTTTAAGGGTCTTTTGTTGTTTTGTTTTCCTTTGGTGTTAGAGATGAGATCAGGGCCTTCTCTGTGCTAAGCATGTGCTCTGCCACTGAGTTGCTCCCTAGCCCATCTAAAGTGTGAGTAGTAGTTTGTCACTGATGTTTCAAGCTCATCGTGTGTATAGCATTGGTGTTGCAGTCAGAATTCACAGCAATACTACTCAGCTAGTTCCCAGCTTCGTCCCTGAAATGCTGCAGTTGTCTGCTTTCAGAATTTCAGCATGCTCATCTCTCCCAACCGCCATGTCTGAGAGCTCAGTGCAAACCATGCAACCCCTCTGTCCCTGGCAGCATGCCTGGTTTCTCACCAATACAGCTACAACATGTGGAACCTTGCCCAACTTACTGAAGGTTCAAGTTCACTTCCTTCTCACTGCCTGAAGAACCTCTCAGCCTGGGGAACCTGCAGAATTTCACAGCCTGGGGAACCTGTAGAGCCTCACAGCCTGAGGAACTTGCAGAACCTCTCCTCTCAACCTGGGGAACCTGCCGCTAGGGAGCCTGAGATCCTGAAAACTAGCAACCAGTTTCCATCTTGAACTTCTCCTTCTGTATACTTTTCTCTTGAGCCCACTTTGATTTTAAGTTATAACTTATTTTACTTTTTTGTAGTGCTCAGGATCAAATCCAGGAATGGAAACATGTTAGACAGACAAGCCCTCTATGCCAGACTATATCCCTAGTCATCTAAATCATAATTTTGTATAATTCTTCCACAGTTTCAGAGTCACCTTTCTCTTAAGCACATTGTGTTTTTGCATAAAGCAGCTGAAGCTTGGCCATCATAGGCAAGGCTGTGTTCTGCTCCTGTTTTGGAGCTGCCTCACCCTGGAAGTTGTACTTCCTCCCAAAACACCCTAGCAGGCTTCCTGATTTAACTAGGTGTCAGGTGTCCCATGAAGTGGTATCAGAAACTGTTTCCATGTCAGAGTTAAGATCTAAGTTGCTAGGATAAGATTTTAAAAAGGCGTGTGGGGTATTTAGGGAAAGTATTGTTTCTTAAGCGCTGCTAGGATAATATATTTGCTGCTGTTTCAGTTTTTATTAGACAGGTTCTCGTGTAGTTTAAGGTGGCCTTAGATGAGCTGGAGCTAATATTGGCCTTGAACTGCTGAGCCTCCTACTCCCCAGGTGTTTAGATGACAGATATGCGCCGCCATGTCTCTAGCTCTACTGATATTTAATAAGATAGATTTAGTTAAACTAACATTTTAAAATTAGGGATTTTTTTACATTGTTAAAGCATTTCTTCGGTTCATAATGAGAGGCAGTCCAGGTGCCATGATATAGCCTCAAAATCATGATGCAAATGAATGTTCAGGAAGTTCCCTATGAAGCTTCTTTTTCTGTCCAAGTGTCAGTGCTCACTTGTCTCTGAGGTCCCCACTGTGCCACATGCTGTTGGTGATGACTTTGCTTAGTAACTTAACATGGGCGAGAAGAAGCCCTCACTGGCAGTCAGGGGGCTGTGGTCTTTCTGGTTCTTGTCACAACTTTCTGCATAGTGTTCATAGCTGTATCTCACAGATCTGAAGTCAAAGCAGGGAGCTCAGAGCGGGGTTATGGGAATTTGGAGCTACTTTGTGGAACCTCGTCCTGAGGTGAGAGCAGAGTTTTGCTATGTATAGAAGGAGCATGGTGTCTGAGACTTGGAGGCATTTCCCCTTACTCTGATTGCCTAAGAATGCTTTCCTGAATGTTAGAACCAGTGAGGTACCCCCTGACCTTGCCTGCCAGAGCTCAGAACCCACATCCCTGGTAACCATGCCTTGAACTGAGATTTAAGACCAGCCTAACAACATGTCAAAAATGCAGAATTCTTAATGTAGCCATTTTTGCCAATGTCCAAGCAGCCTTTTTAATCCTGTGGGCATCCCCTGGTCCAGCAAGGACCTTCCTACCCATCAGGTCTCCAGACTGAGTGTGTCCTGCCCTGCATCCTGCTACAAAGAAGCCTGCTCTTGGAAGCCTGAAAGGCGGTTCAACATTAGTTTTGACTTGAGGCAGGAATACTGGTTCTTCTACCAGATGCAGTGGCCGATGACATATCGGTAAATGTCACCCAGTTGGTCAAGTGTCTGTTGTTTTTAAGAGACAAAATTCTGTACTTTTTTATTTTAAAGACATTGGGATATCAAAGTGCACAGCCTAGAGGTTCTTTCTTGATGGTTCAGTCACGTAGTCACCCCACCTTTCACTCTGTGCTTTCCTCCTGGACTACTTATTCTTTCCTCTCTGTTTCCATTCTTAGTGGTTCTGGACAGCTTTCTAAACTCCTCCCCAGGTGCCCAGGCCTCTGGTAATGACCATCCTTTACTTTTGCTGTGAGGGCCCAATGTGAGGTTCTTGACTCTTGTGGTTCTGTATCAGTGTTTGTATATTGAGTACATGCATACCTTAGCCTTCACAGCATGGCTTTGCCCATGGCCATCTTTGTATAGTGAGTCTGTCTAGAAATTCTGTATGGCCTGCACGCGCTGCAACCATTGCAAAGCTTGATGGCATTGCCATTTCCACGAGGGTGGACTTCTGCATTCAGACTTTGATGGCAGTGAGGCTCATCCCCCCCCCCTTTTTTTTCCCTTTTAATGGCCCTGAGTAGTCTAGCTCTGCTCTGCTCACATTGTCCCATGTGAAGATACCAGACCCAAGCAAGTCTCTTACAAAGTCTCAGAATGTGGGGGAGCAAAATGTCCAGCTCCCACCTATTTTTTCCACTGTAGAATCAAATACAGGGACTTTCTCCATGTGTGGTCCTGTGACCTTGGTAGAGCAGTCTTAGAGTTACCCTGTCTTTCTGCTCATGGTTTTGCATTTCTCTGTGGCCCAGTGGGTACCACAACTTCACTTTGGCATTCAGGGGATTCAGGGTGATGACCTTGCTCTAGTTGGATTATGTGACAACATGGAGAAGTCCTAGATTTCTGCTCCGCCATTTTACTAATCCCACACTCCAACTCTGTGCTTCTGTGTGGATTCTGATGGGGAATCTCAAAGGGAGCCTGGGCTTGTGGGTTTTCTCTAAGCAGTGTTCAACTAGGAGGTGATAAATTAGGGTCACTTGCACATTAGGGAGTGTGCATGCAGTTTGCAGTGGGAAAACTTGAAAGTGCTCCCTTTGATTAATACTTATGCTCGTAAGACTTCTTACACAGGTTATAGTCAAAGCTGAGCACTGTTCTAAATTAAGGATTTCTTAACGTGAATGACTGGGGAATTGGCAGGTGATCTCATCTGTGTGATGCAATGTCATTTCCTAATGCTGCAGGACAAAGCACTACATGTATGGTAGCAAAGCCAGTGGGATGTTGGTGTTCAGTAGGGCAGAGAAGGCCAGGGAGTGGACATCTAAACCCGCTAGCTCTGGGCGGTTTTTATTTCAGTGTTTTTATATGTGTATGTTTTCTGGCAATTTTGTAACCAACTTTGTAATGAAAATATTTTTATAGACTTAAATAAATATTTATTATTTGACTATTACTTGAAATTTATTAACACACATATTCATCTGGCAACTTTAATTTGCTGAATGTTATAATTTAGGCTTCATTTTCACAGCATATCCTTATTTTCTACAGTGGGAAGTAAGATTTTATTTTTTTTTTTACCATGTTGAAGTTATACTGGGTTCAGAGTACTGGAGCCTGGACTGATAAGACCATTTTACAGAAAAAAATTTCTTCTTATCATGGGACCAACCTGAATAGACCCTACACGGACACGTTAGTTAGCTTTCCTTCATCGTGACAACGTGTCAGAGATAAGCAGCTTCTAAAGAAGAAAGGTTGGGGCTGATGAGATGGCTCAGTGGCTAAGGGTGCTTGCTGCCAAGCCTGACTCTCTTGAGTTTGAACCTATGACATACACTGTGGAAGGGGAAAACCAACTTCTCAGTAAGTTGTCCTCTTATCTCCATATGTATGTATGCAGTGGCATGCATGCATGTGCACAAAGACACACATATACAAATAAATGTAATGTACTTTCTACTAGACAAAAAGCAGAGAGTAGGTGGAGGCAGATATCCCTTTCAAGGACACACTCCCAGTAATTAGCTACCTTCCTCCAGGCCCCACATCCTGCAGGTCCCTCCATGTCTAGGCAACTGGAGATCAAGTCTACATGTGGACTCGTGGGGGCATCTGAGCTCTAACCTGGGTCATAACTGAGGCACAGTGCCTAACACTGTCTGCAGAGGAACCTGAGCACTTTATTAATGTTTCTTAGTCCAAGCATTCTGGGAGAGAGCAGCTAAGCCAGGATTCCTCACAAACAACTGGGCAATCAGTGAGAAGCACAGGGACGGGACAAAGAAATGACACGTGCCTGTGCGTCCACTGTCCGTTTCACAGAGCAATGCTGTTGCCAGCAGCGCTCCAAACGATGCTGGACTCTACACTCTAGCACCCTGCGGTGAGACCTGCCTCTTCCCAGCACCCAGTCTTGGATAATCAGTGGCCACTAAGGGGCCACCAGTGGGTGGTTGGAGCTAAAGAAAATTCAGCACTCTGGTGCATTTCTCAATTAGAAGGCATATGGCACCACGTGTAGGTTTTACAACCCAACAAAACCTAGAAATTGGCCTCGTTTCCAAGGGACTGATGGCCACGAGCTCCCAACAGCACAGGGTGCATAGGTGCTTTGCCTATGAGTGTAGTATAGGCAAAGGACTCCAGTGACATCTGCTACTCTGCAGTTCAGAGCTTCAGTCAGTGTGTCGGGTACACGTGACACCACTCGGTTACCATAGGGCCCTCCACCCAGGTAGCCTGTTTCTAACCCAGCGTTATTATAAGCTTAAGGTTTCAGAAGCTCCATGTGTGAACACCCTAAGCCCTCTCACCATACACATGTTCATTTATCTGTCATCATCTTCCTTACAGAGACAGCATCTTATATAGCTTATCCTGTGAGGTTCCCTGCCTGAAGGGAAAAACACGCAGGTGGCCAGAGAGAAGTAAGAATCAGAATGAGTTGAGTTTCTGCCCGGGATTTCTGTACTTTAATCAGTTCTTTTCCCTTGTGGGTTGCTGCCAAAGAGGCAGAGGGTATAAGGAACCCTTCTTGTAGGTGGATAGCACAGGACCATTGCCTCTTTCCTAAGGTCCCACTCCACGTTCACACTGGGGCTTTACCAGTTCCTGGAGCATGTTGCATTTTCAAATCAAGAATGCGATGCTCAGCATGGCTTGAATGTTTATTCCTCCTATGTACCCGATGGACCTCCTTGCTGACTGAACAAGCTGTAAGTACCCAGGAGAAGGAACAACCGCTTTATCCCAGATCTGGGGAAAAGAGAAGCCATACACTGGACACCAGGTTTCTGAATCTGCCTTTGCACTGTCGGTCCATAATGTGTGTATGTGTGTGATCTAGATTTAAAAAGGTAGCACAGTGTCTCAAATGATGTGGTTCATACTTCAATATGGCACATGCATATGTGTCATTGTCTATTTCACAGAGCAAAACATTCTAGAAGAAAAACAAGGAGTGGAAACAAGAATAGAGGTAGAGGTAGGCACAAGAAGCCAATACGATGACTGTACACTAATCAATTAAAATATACTTATTCTACTATGACCCTAAGGGTGCAGTGATGTAGGAAGTCCTTCTGTATATGTGTTGTTTTTATTGGTTAATGAATAGAGAATCTACATTGGCCTGTGATAGGACAGAGTAGGGCTAGGTGGGGAAAACTAAACTGAATGCTGGGAGAAAGAAGACAGAGTCGGAGAGATGCCATGGAGCCACCAGAGGAGAAAGAGGCAAGCCACCAGTTGGAACCTTGCCGGTAGGCTACAGGCCTCATGATAAAATATAAAATAATAGAAATGGGTTAACCAAAGATAAAAGAGCTAGCTGGCAATACACTGGCCAAGCAGTGGTTTAAATAATACAGTTTCTGTGTGGTTATTTCGGGAGTCTGGGCAGTGGGAAAATGAACAAGTGGCCTCTTACTACAGTGCAGTAGTAGCACGCATACCTTGTTAGTAGCCAACAGGTCTCTAATTGGACTTAAGACCACTCAACAAAAGTGAGACCACACCTGTACTAGAAACTAGCCAAGTGCCCAGAGATAGTGGAATCATGGATCATAGAAGAGAGCCTACAACCTCCACTTATTAAACCCACACAGTTCTGAGCCACACTCTGAATATTTATCCTTGCCCACAAATAAATGTTTTTCTCACCCCTCAACAAGGAAATTTCTTTGTCCAGTAGACAGAGACCATTACAGAAAACCACAAGTTATCAAAATGCAGAGTTCTAGAACCTACTCTACATCAAAACTTCTGCACCCAAGGTTTAGGGAACATTGCGGAAGAGAAACAGAACATTAGCTTATGAGGTTGTCTCTCCTAGAAATGGCAGAGAAGCTACACCCATGAAGTCTCACCAGCAGGGCTGCTGTACATGACCTGAACAAGGTCAACACTAAGAGTCGTGCTAACATGGATGGAAGAAAATACAGGAAGCCTCAACCTTGACAAAGAACTAAAGGGAACTAAGAAACAAGTCTTACTGTTGGGAGACAGAGTCTTCCCCCAGGGACAAGCATGCCAATTAGTTATCCAGTGCCAAATGATCAGCCCTGAAAACATATACATACAAGTAACGTTGTAAGGACTGTGCAGGTTGTATTTATATATTGAAGCTGTGCGAGTGTGTGTGTGTGTTGGCAATTAAATAAAAAAGAGCCAGGTTTTATTTATATATTCAAGTTTGTGTATGTGTGTGTGTGTGTGTGTGTGAGAGAGAGAGAGAGAGAGAGAGAGAGAGAAATTAAAGAAAAAGAGTCAGCTAGATTGTATTTATATATTGAAATTGTGTGTGTGTGTGTGTGAGAGAGAGAGAGACAGACAGACAGACAGACAGAGCGCAATTAAAGAAAAAAAGTGAGCCAGGCAGTAACGATTCATGCCTTTAATCCCAGTATTCAGGGGGCAAAAACAGATGGATCTCTGAGTTTGGGGCCAGCCCAGCCTACACATTGACTTCCAGGGCAGCCAGGGATACAGAGAGAAACCCTGTCCCAGAGCCCTGCCTCCTCCAACCCCAAAAATTAGGGGGAGCATTAATTTAAATGACACCAAAGTGGGAGGGATAGGAGAAATGAAGGGGAAGAGGAGAAATGATGTAATTATAAGCTAAAAAAATTTACATTCTTTAAAATTTTGGGGGGGGCTGGAGAGATGGCCCAGAAGTTTAAGAGTGCAGGCTGCTCTTCCAGAGGTCCTGAGTTTAATTCCCTGCAACCACATGGTGGCTCACAACCATCTGTAATGAAATCTGGTGGCATACATTCAGGGAGAATGCTGTGTATGTAATAAATAAATAAATAAATAAATCTTTTTTAAAAATTTGAACCAATAAATTTCCTCAGAGAACATATTATATGTATTTGTATTTTCTTTTTCTTTTCTTTTTTTTTTTTTTTCCGAGGCAGGGTTTCTCTGTGGCTTTGGAGCCTGTCCTGGAACTAGCTCTGTAGACCAGGCTGGTCTTGAACTCACAGAGATCCGCCTGCCTCTGCCTCCCGAGTGCTGGGATTAAAGGCGTGCGCCACCACCACCCGGCTATGTATTTGTATTTTCTTTTAAAGAGTGTTGAAACAGGTTAGATTTTAAAAAAGTGGTCATGTTGATTCCCTGTTCTCACAAAAGCTATTAAGAGAAAGAAATCACAGTGGTCTCCAAAACCTACAGCATCGTCATCATCTCTACTATGCTTACTGATGCTGTGCACACAAGGAACAGTTAGGGGATGGTGTTTGCCCAAATGCCCAGTGGTCAAAGGAGCAAAAGCCCTTGTTCTAGATATTTTTACTTTGAAGTAAATGATAATCATGGAAGATTATAACAGACATAGACAACATTTGTATTTCAGTTATGTGGCCAATAACCTCATCTCTCTTCTCTCCTTTCCTTCATCAACTCCCCTCTCTCTAGTGGGGAACTGAGCCCAAGGCTTCACACATGCTCTGTCACCTAACTACAGCTCCATCCCTAAAGTTCCCACAGTTGGTATCAGATGTAGCAAAACCGTTTTCCTGTCACTTAAAGATGACGTTAAATGTGAACACTGTCCTGGCATTACAGATGACAGGTCACCCTGCTGTTTTTCACAAAGCCATGTACTTTAAAGTACTTTAAGCTCTGTGTCCTTTAGCAAGCCACTGTTGATCTCTGTCCTTTCAGGGCATCCTTTGAGGAAATAGCCTCCTAGCTGCCCAGCGCTCCTCTGTGCAGGACGTTTCACAGGGGGAGCCTGTCATTGGTTCATTGCCCTTCATATGCTAATGAGAGCAGGGCACGTTCACTGCTCAAGCTCCTAGGGAGGGCGGGGCAAGTTCACTGCTCAAGCTCCTAGGGAGGGCGGGGCAAGTTCACTGCTCAAGCTCCTAGGGAGGGCGGGCCAGGCCTGGCTGGACCAAAACCCTTCTGGGGACATTCTGCACTCACCCAGCAGAGGCA